TGGTTCTGGAATTCCCCCAATCTAGAGCCAGTCAGCTCTGTCCATTGCTCTAGAATTCTATCAGCCCAGGACTACTCATCAGCTCTACTGATGCCTGGTCATATTAGAAACTTAACTGCCTGCATGTCTAAAATTCTCATACTGTCCCGAACCCCAGATGGCTCTGACCTGTAATTCCTAAATTCCCTGAGAAGTCAAACTCAGAACTCAGAGGGTTCTAGAAAATGCTGTCACTGCAGAATCACTGTTTCCTACTACCACATGATGCCAGAACTTTTAATCACAGTAGCATCAGACAGCTGTTGCTAAGGTTCTTACTAAGGTTCTAGAACATCCTCAAATAGTTTGCTGCCTCGGCTGTAGACAGTGCATTAAGAATTCTTTGAATGGAATTATTTGAACAGATCAGAAACAACTCTAGATTCTAGTATGCCCCAATATAGCCCGGGTTCACAGAGGTTTGCTTCCCTGGCTCTAGAATCCCTTGAGCAATTTAGAACCAGATAACTCCACCAGCAGTCCGAAAATGATCTAACCAGTAGCCACTGCTTTTTGCTTTAGAACCAGAGATAGGCCACATTTCTGGACACCCCTAGGTGAATCGAAACTACAGTCAGCCCTGCCCCCTTATCTTTCGTGATCTAAGCATTCCAGAAAAACGGACAACTCCATTCTGGGGTTCTAGAACTGTGCTGTCCCATATGGTAGCCACTGGGCACTAGAAATGTGGCTGATCTAGATTGAAATATGCTGTAAGTGCAAAATGCACACAGATTTTGATGATATAATATGGAAAATAGAATAATTATAAAATATTGATATGTTGAAATAATATGAGTTAATTTAATCTTTTTTAAAAAATGTAGCTTGGGGCCTCCCCTGGTGGCACAGCGGTTGAGCGCTGGGCTGCGAAGCTGCCCCGCAGCCTCTGCAGTGCCGGTTCGATCCCCCGCCACTGGGGAGGGTCCCACATGGAGCACAGACCTCTCCTGCTGCGCCCGCTGCTCCCTTCAGCAGTGTATTTTGTCGGTCTGCCTGTTCTGTTCCCCGCTCTGGCTCTGGTGAATTCTCTCACCCTCCAGCACTTCTGACTGTGCCCAGTGCTTGTATAAATAAATAAATAAATCTTAAAAAAAAAATATTAAAAAAAAAAATGTAGCTTGAAGAAAAAAGGTCAGGAACATAAGTGCAACTGCAGGGGGTAGGGAAGCAGAGAAAACCTGCAGGGTAAAATAGAGAGCGCTGGGTGAGAACACTGGGCCTGTTCACCCTGAATGTTGCAAAGAAGCTTCTCTCCCACAGCTAAAGGCATGGACACCCCAGTGTGGACACAGGCGCCCTGGCCTGAAACCACAGCTGCAGGATGACGCTGGCACCAGGGTACACTGCCATGATCTCCTGCCGTTTCCTCAAACAGGGCTCCCTTTCCCTGATTCTCCTAGGATGTGGCTGTGGTCCTGGCAACAGCTGATTACAATTCCCGCTTACTGTCTTCATTTTTGCAGTTACCATTTTTTAAATCATTTGCAGTCAGTCTTTTGTCTTGATCCAATTTTATCTTTTGTTTTTAAAGATGTGTATGACTGGAAAACTAAGACCTCCATTATGTCTCATATTTCCGTTGTTCAGCACTGGGTTAGGACTTTCAGATTATTCTAGAACCAGGTAGCCCTGTCCATAGTTCTGGAATACTGTTTGTTGCTCTAGAACTGCAGGTAAGTTTTATTTGCTCCACGGTTCTAGAACTCGCCAAGCTGAGTAGAATCAGAAGCTCTGTTCATTATTCTAGGACTCACATCAGCCTGAGTCTCTTTAATCTAGAACCACAGGCAAAATGCCATGTTATGGAATTTCCCAGGTGAGTCACAGCTCCACCCATGGTTCTAGAACCTTCCTAGAACTATGGCTGTACACGATTTTCTCTCTCTACAACCACAGAACTTGCTCTTTGACCCACAGTTGCAGGTAGGTCAAGGGCAGATACTAGAAAGTTCAAGGTGGTCAGAACTGGTCCTCCCAAGCCATTAGGGCAGATATGAGCACTTTTTCTGCAAAGGACCAGGCAGTCAATTTTTTGTCTTTGTGGGCCAGATCGTATCTCTTGCAACTGCTCAACCTGCCACTGGAACATGAAAGCTGCCAAACAACACATAAACAACAGGCATTGATTGTGATTGTGTTCCAATAAAACTTTACTTGAGGACACTCACACTTGAATTGCATATCATTTTCATGTGTTAAGAAATATTCTTCTCTCAATTTTTTAGCCATTTGTCAAGCCTGCCCTAATAGCCCCTAATTCATTCTAGAACATTCTCAAGCCTATCTTTCCTCTCCCAGACCATCTGGAATCTACTTGGACCCAATCTCAGAAGCAGCTTTCTAGAAGCCAGAATAACTTCTCCAGAAGCAACTCCTTACTGGCAAACTCTGCCAATTTGGGGAGACTTATTCAGGCTGTTGCGAACCCCTAAGTCCCTGGGGCAAGGACGGGCAGGCCACTCACCCTCCTGTAGGGCAGGGTATGAAGCTGGGGTCTCAGGACTCTGCAAGAAAATAGAAGAGGGGCAGGCCTGAGTCCCTCTGCTAGGCTCCCAGCCACAGAAGAGACCTGGGGAGGGGAGGGACAGGCACTACCTTGGCACCAGCAGATTGCTCTTCAGGAACAACTAGAGGTACTGTTTCCAGCCAGGGTTCTGGGGAGCTGCTTGAGCTCCTGCTGTCACCCTGTTCAGCACAGGCTCCTTCCTCCCATTCTGGGGGGCCAGTATCCCCACCTGAGTCCTCAGGGGGTTGCAACAGGTGAGGAGCAGGTTCTGAAGGCTCCTTGGGACCAGACTGGGAAGAAGGGCACTCTTCGAGGTGCAAAAGTTTCAGCAGATCATCTCGGCCAGCCTCGGTGGACAAGAGCCCGTGGGCAGTGGCCGAGTCCTGGGGGGCCAGGCCGTGGCCAGTGGCAATGTGCAGGGGACAGGGGCGTCCATCTGGGCACAGATCCACCAGGTCACCAGGCAGGGCCTCAAACTGTTGCACCAAGTCTTGAATATTTGGCTTCTCAAGTTCCATCTGACTCAGGCTGCTGGGGCCTGTTGGCACTTGGTCGCACTGACAGGCGGGGGTAAGGTCCTGAGAATGTGTAGGAGTGTTCCTGGGCTCCTCCAGATCCATGGCAGGAGGCCCTGTGGGGGATTGGGGTGTCGTCACAAATTCCATGCCTGGACCCCAGGTTCATACCAGCATCTGAAAGAGTCGAAGGTGAAATTTCCTGGATGCCAACTTGGTGCCAGGTTCTAGCTGGGTGGTAGTCACACAGGACACATAATTTAATACTCATCAAATCCTGTAAGGGAAGGGACTCTATGATCTTCATTTTATAGACGAGGAAACCAAAGGGCAGAAGGGGCAGTTATAAGCAGCGGCATGCCGGGTTCCAAATCCAGGGGGGCGTTCCCCTGTACTTGTCACATTCCCTCCCAACTCTTTCCACTCCAAGCCCCAAGAAATTCCCTGTATCTGTGGCCTCAGACGTTCCGTACCCCTAAACCCTGTTCACCCCAGCCTGGCTCTTCCAAGTCTTCCTCTCCCGGGACAAGGAACCAGGCTGGAGACACACCTTGTGCCTCAGACCTCCGACTCAAGACCCATGTCCAAGGCTTTCCACCCCGGACTCCAGGCTTAATACTCGGGGTCTGAGACTCAACACAGCAGACCCGAACCTCAACAGCGCCAACGCCACGGCGAAGGGCGCCCCCAGACTCAGCCCGGGCCTCGGAACGCAGTCAGGAAGCGGAGCTCGTGCCCGCCGCGCGTCAGACTCCGCTCCCCAGGCAGGCTGGGACCTCCGACTCCGGGCCTCGGGCGCGGCCCCAGGCCCGCTCAGCCCCCAGGACACTCGCTTTCCAGACCCAGGTGAACTCACCGCGCGCCACCGGGCTGGCCAGGTCTTCCCGGCCGGGGCGCCCGCAAATCCGCCGGCGCGGCCCCCGCCCCGGGCGCGCGCGGCCTGCTGGGAAACGTAGTCCCGCCAGGCCGCCGCGCGGGGGCGCTGCAGCGCCAGGGCGGGGAGCCAGAACCCTGGGTCTCCCCAGGAGGGGTCGGGGGGCTCCTGCGCGTTTCCTGGGCTGCGCTACAGGGTAACAATCACTGCCGGCCTCCTGCGGCGGCTGTTCCAAGGGGTGGCCGATGGGGGAAAGCGGGGCTGGAAATAAGGCGAGTGAGAAGTGGCGTCTCCCCACTCCGGGCACACGAGCAGCGGCGCCAGCGTCCCTCGGAAGTGGGTCCTGGTTTGGGTCACAGTAGGGACACATAATGGCCCGTCCTGGCCTCAGTTTCCTCAAGAATAAACCGGAGAAGGCCGCCCTAATGGCACAGGCGTTAAAGACCCAGCACTACCGGGCTGTCGCCTGCCGCCGCAGCACGAGTTCCAGCCCCGGCCGGCCAGGGAGCTACCCACACGGCGCGGCGGACCGCTCCTGGCTCCCCGCTGCTCCCCTCAGCAGGGTATTTCAGGGGATCCGCCTGTTCTGCTCCCCGCTCCATCGCTGGCTAATCCTCTCACCACCACCCTCTTGCACCCAAGTTCTTGCACGCATAAATGAATAAATCTTTAAAGAAAATAACCCGGGGATAATAATAGTACGTACCTCCTAATTATGAGGATTAAACGAGATCAAGTGGGATAGGGATTTAGCACTATGATGAGTCTAGTAAGTACTAATTTCTATTAGTTTCAGGTTTTCAATAATTACTCATTTAAAAAATCTGTAATGTATAAGGTATAATCTTTAAAGTAAGTAACAGGTAACTACAGAAGGACAAAAAAAAAAAAAAAAAAAAAAAAAACAACGTTGAAACATCCACTGAAGCTCTCCTCATAGAGTAAATGGAGTCTCTAGAAAACTTTAAAGACCACGAGCAGCTGCCTGGGGCTGAGAGACTACATTTCCCAGAAATCCCTGGGCGCCTACAACTCCCGAGCATCCCCTCAATGCTGACGTCTCCCGGAAACATACACGTACAGGCAGCCGGCCTACGTCATGGCGGCCGGATGCTTTCTCAGGGCCACCCGAATCTGGGCCAGCTGGCGGCCCCGGGAGCTCCCGAACCCCGCCAATCCTGGGGGGCTCCTTGTACGGGGTTATGCCAAGAGACCGGGTGAGCGGGGTTAGGAGATGGACGCGGTGGGGCCGCGGGAGTTGGTAGTGCGCAGGCGCGGTGTGGGGACATGGTTCCTAGGTCAGTGCGCCAGGATGTAGCGGCCTCAGGCTCTACGCGCAGGCGCAGTTCGGGAGCGCTGACCCCGAGGTGCGCGGCACCTGCCCTTAGATGCCGTCGGCGGCGAAGGGACTCGTTGCGCAGGCGCCGGGATGGACGGCGCGGCCCGTGCTGAGCCTGTGGGTTACTTTGAGCAAATGCCCTTCGCTGCGCAGGTGCGGGTAGATCTCACTGTGCAGATATGTTAACAGAAATTCAGGGACGCAGTGGGGCTTATCTTGTATTAACCACAGAAGCAAAACATAAGTAAGGTTATTTAAATTTTAACTGGGCACAGCCTTGCCTAATAGTGTTTGCTGGAGCGAGGAAATTGGCAAGTGTTAGGCCGTAAAGACACACAGCAGCCGCGGAGACTTCCTCCGTAAGAAGGAATCAAAATAGAATTGAAAAGGAGGAATTTGGTCTGTTACTGACTGCAGTGTTTGTATCCCACTTAAGATCATTTTGGGTGCAGCAGACAGCGCCCCGAGGCCATGGGGGGGGGGGCAGGGGAGGGAAGGCTGGCCTTCCCGGGACAGAACTGGACCGAAACTTTCCCCTCATCTCCCCAGTCATTAAAGGGGGCAAGGGTGGTAAAGGCGGTGTGGCCGCTGAGGCCCTGAAGGACCCAGAGGTGTGCACAGACCCTGTCCGGCTTACCACACATGCCATGGGTGTCAACATCTACAAGGAGGGCCAGGATGTGGTCCTGAAGCCAGATGCTGAGTACCCTGAGTGGTGAGTGGCCCCGGCTATGTCATCTGCCCAGTGGGGACAGCTTTTGGGGGATGTGGGTCACCAGTGAAGTCTGACTTCAGGGGGCCTCACCACTCTGGGCCCAGTTGTCTCATCTGTAAATGGGAATCGTATTTCCCTCAGGTTTGTGTGAGATCAGTGAGATTAGGATGCCTGTGTGAAATGCTTAAAGCAAGGCCTTTTTTCTTTAACATTTATTGAATGGTGACTATATGCCAGGCCTTGTTTTATGCACTGGGGATACAAAAGGGTATAAATTACATCAAAGTCCCTGACTTTGTGCAGCGAGCCTGGGAGGGAGGCAGTCAACATGCTGACAGTGAAGAAGCTAGATTGGTGACATTTCCAGGAAGCTGGAGAGTGAGAGACTGGGAAGGAGACCTGGCTGATCAAATCAGAGGTTTTAAGGAGGGTTTCTCCGGGGAAGGGAAGCATGAGTCAAGGCCTGTGTGGCTTGAGAGGAGCTTCAAAGGCAGAGGGGACTGCCAGCACACAACTGGATCTGGCTTGTTAGACGCACAGCAGGAGATCAGTGCGGCAGGAAGACACCTGAGGCCGAGAGTACTGGGAGACACGGCAGGGAGGACCGGGGCTGTAGGGAGCATTTTGCTCTGGGCCCCAAGAGCAGTGATGGCCTGAAGCCATTGCCATGTGCTGCTCCTTAAAGCTGGGAAGGTTCAGGAAGCTTGAGTGAGCGAGTGGGGAAGTACGATGGGTAAAGGGCACAGCGTAATGATCAGGAGGCAGGAACAGATTTGGCATGTGCCCACCTCACAAATGCCTGTAGAATGGGGGTGGCTCCATTGTTGTAGGGCCAGGGACCAACCGACTGGCTCAGTGATGGGGAAGAACCATCCACTATTGTGTAGCCACGTGGGACCCTGACCAGTTGCTGCCTGTGCTTAAGGTGCCTGGGGTGGGGTACCATGGGGGCCTACTGTGCAGCGCTAACTCCCAATTACACTCCATCAGGCTGTTCCAGATGAATTTGGGACCCCCCAAGAAGCTGGAGGAGCTGGACCCTGAGACCCGAGAGTACTGGAGGCTGCTGCGGAAACAAAACATCTGGCGGCACAACAGGCTGAGCAAGAACCAGAAGTTGTAGTGGGAGAGAGCCCGGAATACCCTGACCTGCCTGGGGCCTCGCCTGCTCCCACGGAGGACTTTATTTTCCTGGAGAAAACAGACTTTTCTGAGGACAGAGGAGGCCCCTCACCTGGGTTCCCGTGTTGCCCCCACAGCAAAACTAGATTAGGGCCACAGGACAAATAAAGACCTTTTGGGGCTGTGCTTGTAGGCCCTGGATGCCACTGGTATTGTCTGATGTCGGGGCAGAAGGGGGTAAGGCGGAGATAGGCAGCCAGATCCGCTGGATCCATGGGCCCTGGGTCCTCCCAGCTGCCCCCTCACCGCAGCTGGCTGGGCTCCTGCAGGTCCATCTTCATGTCCAGGCCTCATTGTGCTTCTCACCCTCGTTTCCTGAAATCACCCATACTCCCCAAGGGACCCCAGCGCTGATCCTCGCAGGGGCAGCTTTTCTAGTTTCTTGGTTGCCAGGGACTCAAACCTGACCCAAGCCATCTGAAGTAGCAAAGAGCCTGTGAGCTCTGGGCCTGCAAGCTCCAGGAGCAGGCTCTGGCTTCAGGCACGGCTCAGGCTAGGTACGCTAATGATCAGACATGAGGATCGCCCCATCTCTGTGGTAGTTCACCCAGGCAGGGGTGACTTCGGGGCTCCTGGCTACCAACACCCCTCCGTTCAGCAAACCCAGCCAGAGGGAAGGGGCTTCCCTTTCCTTCCTGTTAGGGCACAGGGGTCATCTGGATCGGCCAGTCACTAGAGACCACAGACCTGAGCCCACTGACTAGCCTCCTGCCTACCCCCACTGGCGCCCAGGTCTCCACCTCCCCCTCGCCCCATCCCGCCAGGAAATGCGTCCTGAGTCTGCACTGGGCACCATGGCCCCGAGCCACAGCCTCACGAGGAATCCAGCCCCAGGGCTCTGGAGCCCCATCTGGCTGCGAGGAAGGGTGGGAGGGCCGGGGTGCCCAGGCGAGGCCAGAGTAGAGCAGGTTAGAAGGGGGGGGCCCCCTCACCGGGGTCTGTCAGCATCCTACCGCCCCCACCAGAGCCCTGCCCTCTCCCCAGGAAGAGGGGGGATGGCTCAGGAAGGTTGAGTGAATGAGTGGGGGCAGCGCCCATGAGAGCCTGGGCCAGGGTGCCCCGCCCCCCAGGCTTCTCTGTCCATGGGTGGGTGGGGTCCCAGGAGTACGACAGCCCTCATCCGCTTAGGAGGACGCTGCCAAGCAGATTACCTGCACCTGCCCTCCTTGAGGACCTGCTCGGGGCGGGCGGAGGGCCCCAACCCTCCCTCGGATCCCTGACTTTCAGGGTGAAAACTAAAGTTGTAGCAACCGCCAGGCCCTGCATGACATGTGCCATCCCCTCCCAGCCCTGACCTCTCCCTTCCCCTGCCCTCCCTAGCCCTGCCTCAGCCACGGGGGTCACCTCGGTGCTCCTTTGGCCAGCAGGCACTGTCCTGCCCCAGGGCCCTTGCACATGCTGTGCGCTCTGCCTGGGGCTCTCCCTGCCACCGACCCCACGGCTCCTCCCTCATCTCTGGGTCTCTGCTGAGGTAACGTCCTCTGTCAGGCCTACCCTAACCACCCTATTGAATTGCAACCCTGTGACACACTCTGGATCACCCTTCCTGGTTTGATTTTCCTCCTTGGCACCACCGGGGAGCCTTTGCTTAGGCTTTATTTGTTTATTTAAGAGTCATTCTCTCCCCCACTGGAGTGGCAGCTCCAGCAGGGCAGGGATTTTGTCCACCGCTGCGTCCTTATTGCATACTGGTTAGGTGGATGAGTGAATGGGCTGGCCTGGCTGCCTCAGGGTAAGCAGGACACGGGCCACTGGACTCGCGTGGGGCCATCTGAGGAGGCAGGCCAGCTGTGACCTCTCAGGTGTGAGGACCGGCAGGGCGCTGTGATCTCTTCCCGATGGAGCCTAGAGGAGCAGGGTGCAGCAGCCTCTGTCTCTGGCACTCCTGTCCTGACCCAGGCTGCCCCATCCCCTAGGGGTGTGCCCGGCATAGTTAAACCTCTTCCTTGCCTAGTAACAGCCTCCTCACGTTAGGACCTGGCCTGCTCCTGGGAAGGGCAGCTCTCATGGCCCGTGAGCCCCGGGGAGACATAGCTCGGTTGGGCTCTTGCCCCAGGGCCCCACCTCACCCGCCCTAGCCTGGGAGACATGGGGAGTCTGTGGTCAGTGGCTGCGATGCATGCCTGAGGGTCTCCCACGAGCACCTGGCCTGGGTCCCAAGCACTCCTGGGCCAGCCTGAAGCCAGCAGGGCAGCATGGGCCTCCAGGGATGGAGCCAGGCAGAGTTTGAGAAGCAGTTCCAGCCCCTGCTGGCCCCAGGAAACAGGCCTTCTGTCTTTGGATCTCAATTTACTCCTCTGTAAAACGGAGCCAGTGGCTGTGTCGCACCTCACATGGCAGTCAGGAGCTGCTCAGCAGTGGCCCCGGAATATGGTTGAACAGAAGCTGTTTTGGGTTATTTCTTGGTGGGAGGGTGGCCCAGGGGCTCCGCTATTCAAAGGTTAGGAGGGATTTAGACTCATCCACACAGAATTAATGTGCAATGGCTCCCGACTACAGCTTTACAGTCCAAGAACTCCGAATCTACCCCACCCATGCCTGCTCGATAGATGGAGAGACTGAGTCTGGGAGTGGAGCACAGACTGTCCCGAGGCCATCTAAGGCCCTGCTCCCGGGCCTGGGGATGCTGTGGCTACCTCCTTTCTGGCACTGGGTGCTGGTCTCCCTGCAAGGCAGGAAGTGGGTGGCCCTGGACAGGGAAAATGGGGGCAGTCAGGAGTCCCAAGGCATGCTTCCCAGTGACGGCCTGACCTGGTGACTGGTCACTCCATGACCTCAGTCTGGACTAAGGCTATGGTAGTCGTCACCTGGCATGTCCCTAGCCCTCAGGATGAGGAGGAAGTCTTGGGGCTCAGACTCAGGTTGGGGCCCAGGCTCAAGCTGTGGGCCAGGCTCTGTCCAGTCCAGAGCCTGCTCATGCTCCTTGGCCAGCAGCCTCAGGGACTCCTCCTCCAGAATGAAGCCATCTGCAAAGGCTAGACCAAAGGCATGGGGCCCGAAGGATGCCTGCAGCCCCAGGCCCGGGCCCAGAAGGCGCAGGAGGCCCTACACAGCAGGGGTCCCAGGACCCAGCCAGGGACCCCGGGGGCAGTGGTAAGGCTGGAGGGAGGGTAAGGCCCAAGGCATGGCAGTGTTGGAGCCTTGGGGGTCCGCGAGGCAGCTATGGCTCCAGAGCCAGACTCCAGATGCTCCTGGCGGCGCCACTTGGCCCGGCGGTTCTAGAACCACACCTGGGAACAGTGAAAGGGGTGCTCACAGCTCAGAGGTGGTGAGGAGGAGCCAACCTGGTCTTCCTCACTCCACCGTCTTGAGGGGTCCTGCCTGTTGTCTGACCTGCTCCCACCTGCTGAAGCACCGACATGTTTTATTCTGCTTCAGCTGAGCAGCCTTGAGGGGGTCACTCCCTCATGGCCCCCATCAAGCTAGCCTTGAAGTCTCCCCTCAATCTGATCCCTTCTTGCCATTCTCTTGGCCCACCTCAGGCACCGCTGCCTCCTTCATGGTCTCTCTTGGCCCTCAGCTTGCAGCTGTGTCACCCTGCTCGGCACTCAAGGTTTTGCATAAGCTTTCTCAGCTTCACTCTCTGACTCTCTCCACCCACCTCACATCCGGCTCAGTGGACACGCCCCCGACACCTTCACACACACTGTTCTGGATGCCTAAGGTGCCCTTTCTCCTCTCTAGCAGGCAAATTTCTACTAGTCTGTTAAGGCCCCAGTCCTGCTCCCCCTCTTCCAGGAGGCCCTCTGTTTCTCCTCTGCCCATGTCCTGCTCAGCAGGAGGGTCTATATCTGGTGCAGGCTCCGCCTTGGCTGGGTGGGGGGTGACCTCACCTGCACACGCACCTCGGGCAGGTGCACCTTGGCCGCCTGCTCCTCGCGACTGTAAACATCTGGGTAGTGGGAGGCCTCGAATGCCCGCTCCAGCTGGTGCAGCTGGTATGTGGTGAAGGTGGTGTGGTTCCTCCGGTGCTTCTTCTTAGGGGCCTCGTCACCTGACCGGAGCCACCTACCCCTGGCAGCTGGCCCCTTGCCAGGGCTCAGGAACATGGCTCCTCCTCGCCCCCACCTGGCAGGATGGCAACATGACAGATGGTGGGAAGCCAGCAGGTGGGACTGCTGGCTGGGGTGGTGCAGGGGATCCCCAGCACCTGCTGGTCTGGAGTCCTGCAGAGCGCTGTCCTCTCCTGGCACATGGATTCGCCCCACCTCCCCCACCTCTCTGTTGATCTCAGATTCTCTCTGTCTTCACTTCCTTACCTCTGATTCTTTCTCTGTGTTTTCTGTCCCCCCAACTCTATTTCCTGTTACCTTACTTTCATCTTTCTGTCTTTGTGTCTCTCCGTGCCTAGGACAGCCAGGAAGGCAGAAGGCCCCTATTGAATGCTTCCTTGTCCCCAAACACTCCCTATGGGGGGTTCTCTGAATTCCCCTGCCCCCACCTTTGCCCTCCTGTGCCTGCCTGCCCAGTGCTCTCGGGACTCCCGCCCCAGTGCTGTGTTTGCTGCTAGCCTGGCCCTGCCAGACCTGAGGGGGGCAGGTGCAGGGAGGATTAGCACTAGGTGATTAATTGAAGGGGCCCCTCCCATCCCTGGCTGCTCGTGCTGCAGGTGGAGGGCTGGGAGAGTGGAGGGCTGACGCTTCCAGGGTTTGGGGACATCGCAAACTTTGGTCCATCACTCCTCGCTGTAGGACCAAGTCCAAAACAAGGGCCTCTCCTCCTCTGGGGCTCAGTTTCCCTGGCTGTAAAATAGACATGAGGACCTGCCCCATGGGGGCTTTCAAGGGGATTCAGAGGTGAGAAAATAAAGAGCCTTGCACAGTGACTGCCATACAATGAGTGCTCAGTCAATGTCCACTGTCATTGTTTTATCAGCTGAGGCCAGAAATGGACCCTCAGACTCACCTTTGTCAATGGGAGTTGGAGTAGCTGAGGTCCCGAGAAGTAAAGGTAATCCCAGTCTGCTCCCCTAGATATTGCGCAGGGCAAAGAACATGGGGGTATTTTAGGTGGGTTTTGAATTATAAATAGAAGTTCACTCCATCCATTCATTCAATCAACATTTATTGAGCTCTTACATATACCAGATACTGTGCTGTTCACAGAAGTGAATAAAACAGAAAAAATCTTAGCTCTGACATCCTAGGGAGGGAGACAGACAATCAGCAACTATATTTGAAAAATGCAGAGTGTGTCAGGTGGTCAGAAGCCTAGTAAGAAAACTCAATCAGAGGAGGGAGGAGGTAGAGGGGGTGGCTTGCTCTTTTAAAGGTGATCAGAACAGAGGTAGTGTATAAGGCTACAAATTCTTGGGTGTGCAGGGGAGGCACAGGGGACCCATAGGAGACTGTGGAACAGGGAAGGACACAGTGCAGGGTAAGTGAAAAAGTATCAGGCTTTTCCACCCTCCCGCATTAGCATTAATGATGGACCCCTGCGGTCCTACCCGCACGCCTGATGGCAGACACCTGGAGTGGGGTGTGGGCATGCATAGGTGGGCACACCTGGGCTGAGATGGGGCTTATGAGGGCGGCGTCACGGGGACACCAGCAGAGAATGAGAAGAGAGAGAAGGAACGGAATGAAAGCAGAGGAGCAGAGGCCACGAGAGCACACCAGAGCCCAGGAAGAGTGAAGACTCCCCGGGGGCCTCCCGGCCCCCCAGCACCCCTGCCCACTGTGTACCTGGTAAAAGATGAATAAAAGCCCGAAAAAGCCTCTGAGGGCTCCAGGACTCTCCTCCATCCATCTGCTCCGATGACAGAGATCCTGCCCCTGCACACGGTCAGAGGGCATTTTGGATGAGTGTCTATTGTGGGCAAGATGGGAGACCTGGCTGGGGTGAGGGCCGTGGGAAGGGGGAGGTGGGAGGGATGGAAGAGCAATTTTGGGAGAAGAAAGTTCAGGGAGGAGGAAGGGGAATCGGGTGCTACCCAAGCCCCTGATTTGGAGCCAGCCAGGAGATGGGGTTACCACAGCGGTGGGGGCCTGAGGGCCTGAGCAGGTCCAGGGGAAGCTCCTCAAACTGGCTCGTCTCGCCAACCCTCCTAGCCCAATAAGCCTGGGGGCTCAGGCAGGGAGGTGCCCTGAAAACCAAGACAGGGGATGTGGGTGAGGAAGGCGAGATGAAGCGGAGGAAAGGCTGGTGAACTAGTGATACACAGGATGGGAGGGTTGTCCCCGTGGACCAGACGGACAAGTGAGAAAGCATATAGAACCTTCTAGAATGTTACATCTGAAGGAAGAAACAGAGAAAGGCTCACACTGGAAATGGGGTGCCAGCCCTTAGAGGAGTCAGGTCTGACGTAATGAAGGGGTAACCAATTTGGAGGAGAACTTGGCTTTCCCCCACACCACCCCAGGAAGGAGGAAGTGAGGCTGGAAGGGTGCGCTGTGGCCCCTCAGGAGGGAGCTAAGTCCCCTAACTGCTTCATCAGTTTAAAATGCTAAGGAGCAGCGTGGTCCTCAGGCCTCAATTAGCGGAATGGGCCTGGGTGGATTAAGAGGCGTGGAGGGCTGTGGCGACTTCGTGGGAAATGGCTGAAGCTCCAGACGCTGTGTCAGCCTAGACGCGGGATCAGGGCCGGGAGACAGGCCACCCTGTCCAGCTGGAGTAGGGACGGGACAGCAGCAGGCGATTCTGGGTCCCTCTCGCTCCTCACCCTTCATTTCTCCTCAGGAAGAATCACGAAACCCCTTCCGGGGCCAGTGGGAAACTGAGGTCTAGAGTGGGTGGGGTTTCAGGGAGCACCGCAGGAGGTCAGCATGACCTTGGGGCACTTCCGTTTCTCTAGCTCAGTGTTAGCCGTGGGAAGGGCTGCGGGTAGGATGGGGTCCGATTCCTTCCTCAGCTGGGCAGGGGTGCGGAGGGCTGGGGGGAGGGCCTGGGGGGAGCCCCTGTCCAGGCATCCTGTGGGCTGGCTGCAGGCATGTCACTTGAGAGGGGTGTTGCCAGGCCCGGCAGTAACTGAGTCCGGCCGTGTGCTCAGCACTTCACACGAGCATCACAGTCATCACACCCCCCACCGCCCCCGCCCCGGGACCATTGCCACCAAAGACACAGGGTCGCAGAGGAGGCTGCTGGGGCCGGGAAGGGGGTTTAGCACTGACATCCCCATCCCTGACTGCATAGCTATGGGGAGACAGGATTCGAAGGGAGGGGGGTTTGGCGGTTGCAAGCCTAGAACCTCTCCCTGCACCCCCACTGTGAGAGCAAACAGGAGGTGGGGCCTCAGGACAGGTACTTCCAGGCTGCCCCAATCACTGATTCAGTCCGTTAGGCCATGTAGGCGGGGCATATGTGGCCTCTGGGGATGCGCCCAGGAAGGACCCTCCTGCCCTCCCAGACACCTGTCCTAGTGACGAGGATGGGACCAGGTGGGAAAAGACCTGGACCTGCATGCCACTGGCACTCTCCCATGATCATGTGAGCTCAGAACCTTAGGAAGCCATAGGTGGGGTCCCCACCACGGACTAGGCACCCCCAGAGCACCACAATGAGGATGCCGGGAGTGAGGGCATATGAGTCCATGGGTGGCTGTGACCCCTGGCCAGAGGCACTCCCAGCTTGATCTCCGGGAACTGTATCCGGACCCCATGGAGTGAGAGGACGCTGAGGGTTGCAGAGAGACTCAGACACCCACAGTCCTTGAAACCAATCTTTATCCAAGTGTTAGCCCGATTCCTCCTGGGTCTGTGGGCTGCCCGGAGCTCCCTGAGGGCCTGCCTCTGCACCGTGAGCCAGGTGGACACTTGCTGGCCCTGACCCTTCTCAGGCCTGGCCCACGGCCCCACCCTGCGCCCCCCATTATTTTGGTCCTCTGGGGCACTGGGCCCCACTGGGCAGGGTCAGGGCTCCTGGCTTCGGGGTGAGATGGAGCCATCAGCATCCTGCCCCCCAACAGAGGCTGAGGCACCCGCACTTCGAAGTTCCCGGGCTAGCTTCTCAGCCAGTTTGCGGAAGGGTGGCCGGCGGGCAGGTTCAGCCTCCCAGCAGCTGCTCATGAGGGTGTGGATGGGGCCTGGGCAACCCTCAGGAGGCTCCATGCGGTACCCCTTCTCCACGGCCTCTGACACCTCCTTCAGTGACTGTGGGCAGAGGGCACAGTGGCGTGGGGTCAGGGTCACGGCCTCCAGACACACAGGGGACCCAGCACCTCTCCCCAGGACCCCACTCACCATCTTGGGGTATGGAGCCCGGCCATATGAGAAGACTTCCCATAGCAGCACCCCGAAACTCCAGACATCGGACTTACTGGAGAATTTCTGTCAGGCCCAAGATCAGGGTGAGGGCTTTTGTTTTAGCCCCTCCTTCCTCCAGAAAGTCCCAGTGGGTTGACCTACAATCTCTGGTCTCCTCCCGAGAGACTCCACTCCCTGAATCCCCCCAAACCAAGTGGATCCCAGACTCAGTGCAGGGAGAAAGTCCCCCTTTCTCTCCCTCAGTAATGAGCCAAAGTCTGTTTCAAAAATGGGGAAACCAAGGTCCAGACAGGGCTACCCAGGAAGAAGCTAGACGGGGGTTAAGAGGAACAATTACGGGCAGAGCCATTTCCTTTGGAGATTGACAGGCCAAGAGATGTGCCCCTGGGTCACACAGCAGGGGTGGGACTCCAAGGGCCCCGGTAGGGCAGAAGGGCTCACCCCATGTTTGAGAGCCTCAGGCGCTGTCCACTTAACTGGCAGCCGGCTGGAGTCCAGCCCCTTCCGCTCGGCTTTGGCCAGGCCGAAGTCGCTGACCTTGGCCACCAGGTCCTCAGAGACGAGGATGTTGCGGGCGGCCAGGTCTCTGTGCACGAGCTTTTTACTCTCCAGGTACTCCATGCCCTCGGCCACGTGCCTAGGGAGAGGGCGGGAACCAGATCTCAGGCCAACTCCCAAGGCCAGGCTCCGCCCTGCTCTGTGCCTCGGTTTTCCCTTCAGCTTGGAAAGCCCCCCTCCCACCACCCCCCAAGAGCCCCACTCACAAGGAAAACTGTAGAAGCTGGGGGGTGTTCACGAGGGCACGGCCCCGAGTGCGTAGAAAGTTCACCAGGTTGCCCTGTGGGGAGCAGTCATGGGAAGAGAATGGGGACTCAAGGCTCCTCAGCCCCTTTAACCCCACCCAAACCTCCCCCTCCAGGCCCTGCCCCATACTGGGCCCCACCCCCACCTTGCTCACGTGCTCCATGACAATGTACAGACCCTGGTGCAGGATCACACCCAGGAGACGCACCAGGTTCTTATGCTGCATCTTCCTGGGGGTAGGCAGGGGTGGGGTGAGGGCACGCCTGGACCCCGACCCCAGGATGCCCTATCCCCGTTCGGGGACTCACGTCATAACAGCAGTCTCGTCCAGGAAGGCCTGGGCAGTCACGTCGCACTTAATGTTCTTTACAGCCACCTTCTGCCCCAGGTACTCGCCCTGCAGGACGGCTGGGAGCAGGTGGAGTTGGGGATGGTGATCAGAGACCAGACACAGGGTCTGAACCCACTCACACCAACCCCCAGTTAGGCCCACACACCTGCGGTTCCCCAGCCCCAGAAACTCTAACCCCTACAAGCTCCAGCCCCCTGATTAAAGAGAATCAGTAAGCCAGGGGTCCTCAAACTCTGGCCGACACCCAATACGTTCACATGGGGGTTTCCACAAGGCCCATGAGCTCAGAATGGTGCTTATATTTTTAAATGGTCGAAAGAATAACAAAAGAAGTACATTTTGTACCACGTGAAAATTGCATGCAATTCAAATTCAGTGTCCATAAAGTTTTATTGGCACATGGCCACGCCCCTTCATTTACCTGTGGTCTGGGGCTGCTTCCTGCTGCAATGGCAGCCTATGAGATGTGACAGACTGTTTAGCCCACAAAGCCGGAACTACTTCTACTCCCATACTCATGAGAACCCGCCGCCTCAGGGAATGGCATGAAAACAGCGGGACCAGCATGTGAAGGAGGCGGGTGTGGCGGAATCCGGCTCACTCGCTGGGTGTCTGCCTGAGCTAATTCACTTCTCACGACTACTGCACTTAAGCCCTTTCACAGGGAAACAGGCTTGAAGGAGTCACAGCACAGCAAGTGGGTCTTCAACATGCGTGTGAATTCATCTCTATGTCTCCAACCTCAACACACCTTCCACCTCCCTTTGGCCCCTACCGCACACACCCACTCACCTCCAAACTCCCCCTCTCCAATCTGCGATCCCAGTGTCAAATGCTGCAGGTTCAGTAACCAGCCGGCTGTGGGGCGAGGACCCAATCAGAGCGGAATGGCTCCCCCAACCCCTCCCATCAGGGGCTCCACCTGGCAAGAGACTGGTGGTGTTTCCCACAGCGCCCAGCAGCGTGCTTGCATTCAGGTGGCTGTGGTTCCGGCAGTGGCCCAAAGACGAGTCTGACACAGGCCATTTCTGGTACCGGGGGGCATGGTGTCAAAAGCTACAGCGCCTGCCTGGGTTGACCTGAGTGACCAGGCATCTGCAGAGGGAGAAGACCTCTGCCTCCAAGAAAGGCCTGTGGGGCCCAGGGGCAGCGCAGCAAACCTTCAGGGCTGCGTGTCAGTCTGCTCCCTGGAGACCGTCTCTCCAAATACACAGTGGGTCTTCAACTTTAGTTTTGTCTCCAGTCATCCAGGGACACACACCGAGCAAAATATGTAGGAAACATGGTAAGGCCTCTGGAATCTTCCGTGCTCTAAATCATCTGTGCTCCGGGCCTCCCAGAACGCCCTCTCTCAAGAACTCCGTGATCCCCCCTCCTCTCTCCTCTAGTAGGTTCTGTAGGGCTCCTCCACTTCTCAAAGCCCCCCTCCAATCAGGAGTCCTTAGGTGTGATCACCTGGTAAGACCCGCCCGCACCAGGGCGCCATCCCCAAGGTGTCCAGATTTCCCATGTGACAAAAACAATAATCGAGTTCAAAAGGGGTGGCCAAGGCAGCAGGCATGTACTTTGGGCCCTGCGTATTGAATATCAGCACCCAGGGAGTGGAAAAACATCTAAGAATATACAGTGCGCAGAGGCAGGAGAGGAAATGAGGCACAGCCGCCATTTGAGAAAGGGGGAAACCTGCCCCCCGCTGGAAGGAGGTCGCTTGACGGGAGGACCTGCGGCCAGGCTGGGGTAGGGGTGGCCAGGGCCCGGGGGGGCCTGAGTGGCCTGAGGTTCAGGCCCAGGTTTCTGGCTCACGTGACCAGCTGGCCGACAGGGACACAGAAGAGGCAGCAGGTGTGGGAACCCACTCAACAGTGGGCCAGTCAGGGTCTGCGGGCACCCTCTGCCCAGCCGCAGGGCAGTCAGGTCTTCTGCCCGCACTGCCAGGCGCAGCAACATGCTTCGCTGATCTGTATTGGCTAAATCCCCGGGCCCGGGGTCCTGCCCCCCAAGTCTGGACTTAAGAGGTGGGAAAGGCCCCATCCCTACCCTTGGCCAGCTCCTCTTCTGCCGACTTGGTGCCCTGCTTCCTCTTGGGTTTCACGAGCCTGGTGCAGATGGCCCCCTTGTCCTTGCTGTAATGCTGTAAGGCGGGGCGGAGGTGGCCGTGAGCTCCACCCTAGGGTGCACGGAACCCCTGCATCCCGACCTCTTCCCAGGGGGTCTCTAGATGGGGTGGGAGGAAGCTGGGGGGAGGAGAGAGGGTTGGTTCCCAGGGACACCTTGGACTGGTTTCCATGGGAACCGGAAAGGATGCAGGCTAAGGAGGAAACAGGAAGATGGGGAGCTTCTCTGGATTGGTGTCAACTTGATGGTTTCTGGGGGGTCCCTGGAGGTAGAACCTGGGGGACCTGGAACCACTGAAGCCAGCCCCTTCCTTTCCACGTTGGGGAGTATGTGGTCCTGGGGGCCCTAGGCCTGTCCGGCTGCCAGGATGGGGAAGGGCTGGGTCCCCTCCATATCTGCACTGGGGAGCATGGGGCCCTGGGGTCGAACCCACCTCCACCATATCCATGAGGTTGCAGAAGCAGACAGCCTCGTCGATGGTGAGGTGGCCTTCGCGGTGCAGCACGCGATAGTGGATGACATCGCTGGCGAAGCTCACGCACAGCACGTAGTCACCCGGGTGCCGTGCAGACTCACGCACCAGGAACAGCCCGTCCTCAGGTGGCTGCAGCTGCTGCACCGCTTCCTGGCCGGAGATCTTCCCGTGGAACCACCTGTAGCCAGTGGAAGGTGGGCTGGGCTGGAGAGGCCCAGCTCTCCCACAGCCCACTGCAGGCCCCGCCCCCCTCGGCCCCCAACTCACGGCATGAGGCTGAGCTTCGGGTCTGCGGAGAGGGCCTCACGCTCCCTGAGTGCCCCAGCAGCCAGCAGCCCCTCCTGCCCGCTGTCGTGGTGCTTGGCGCGGTACCAGCTCTTGCTCTGCCAGGGTGGGAGCCAGGGCTGGGTGGGATGTCCTGGCAGGACCCTGTCCCCCAGGCACACCCAGTCCCCCGCCCCCCTCACCTCACAGGCCTCTAGGATGGTGACCACGTCGCCCTTGCGGAAGGCCAGCTCCCCTGGCTTGGGACGAGTGTGTTCACACTTGGTGATGCACTGGGTGCCTGGTGCCCAGCGCCTCTGGGGAGGGAAGGGGCAAAGGAAAGTGAGGGAGAAGCAGGAAGAAAGAGGGGCTCAAGGGGAAAGAGAAGACAGGAGTAAGCAAGGAATGGATTTGGAAAGGAACAGGCCAAAGGGACAGCGAAGTGAGAGACACTGAGTTGCAGGCAGAGAGAGCAGCAGAAAAGCAGCCAGAGGGGAGAGAGTGCGCGAGAAGGTCCGCATCACAGAAGGCCCAGGGCAGAGTCAGGAGGAAAGGGATGCAACACCAGAGATCCAGAAGACTGGGTAGACACGGGCCAGAAGGGGTGTGGGTCAGAAAGTACAGCCCCGCCCCCACCCAGAGGGTGCAGCTGAGGTCCCGTGGCTAAGTTTTGCTGAGGAAGGGCAAAGGGATGCCAGTCTGGGGTACTCACCGTGGGCATCCTGGCTGAGATGGGTGTGGGGTGCCAGACACGAAGGAAGCGAGGGCTCACCTGGGAAGGGAGCAGAGACCAGCTTGAGGGTCCAGAGTGAGCCAGCTTGGGACCCCGGGGTGGGGGCACTATTGCCCCTCCCAGCCCAGGCCTGGTGGAGGTGGCAGCCAGAGGGCATATCCAGGGAGGACCCAGGCGCTGGGGCAGTGCTTTTTACCCTCGAGAGTTCTTTAGCAGAGTCACAACCATGCAACTCCAGTGAGGAAACCACAGTGCCTCGACCAGCCATCTCTCCCAAAGAGAAATTGAGGCACAAGGCTAGCAAAGAGCAAGTGGCCACAGACTGAGGAGTGAGCACTTGGCTCAGGCACCAGCAATCTGCACAGAGAGTGGGGAGCTTGGTGCCACCTGATCGAGCCTGGTTCCTCTTTTCTGGGAAGTAGGCAGGGTCAAAGAGGAAACTAAGAATGATTCAAGGTCATTCCCTATTATCTCTGACCCTAGGGTGGGGCAGGGGCGGGGTCAAGGCAGCCTAGCTGGGTGGTACCTTTGGCCTGGGTGCCTCTGGCTGCCCCCTGAGCCTCTCTGATCCCCGCAATCCAACCCAGGGCCGACACACAGTCCCTCACTGCTACTGGAAAGAGGGGTACTTTTCCAACCTCTGCCTTCCCCATCAACCCCACCACAGGTGGCTGGGCAGGGTGGGGGGGAGGAGGGAGGACATTCTCAGCCCCTCCAGCATGCACCTCCCATAAACCCCCGACCCCACGTGTACTCACATGCATGCTGGTCCATGTACACACGAGCACACACAGAAACACACAGAGCTTGGACAGAGGTGGACACAGGTACCCACAGGCACGCCAGTATGAGGCAAAGATGCATTCACCTAAAGATAGGTGCGCGCGCAAGCACACACACACGCACACACACACACACACAGAGGCTCGGACCACCAGAAACGTGTGTACCTGTCGCCCTGAACACAGACCCACACTTGAACACCTGGGCACTAGACGCTGGGCCACCCCGGCAAGCAGAGCAACACGCAGGGCCCTGCACAAGCATCTCGGCCACCCGAGCACATTCCTCCACGTGGACGCGCGGGTACACACAGCCGGGGGGCTAACATCCGCACACCCGCACCCAGAAAAATACCCCCCACCCGGCGCCTGATAGCTTCCAACCAGCCCCCGCCCCAGCCGCGTACCGCCGAGCGCCCGGAACGCGCACACTAGCACGCACACCGGCCCCTCCCGAGCACGCCCGGCCCCCGCTCCGAGAGGCCCCCCTAGTGTCCCGCGGTCTCTACCCTTACCCCGTCAGCCGCGCTCACCTGTTCAGGGGACGCCACTGGGCCGCGCCCCGCGCCCGCCCCCAGGAGGGCCCCCGCGCACCGGCTGCGCACCCCGAGGCGGCCACGGCTGCACAACTTGGAGCAAGTTGCTCCGTTTCCTCATTTTGGGGGGGTGGTGGCGGACTGGGGTGGGGGAGCAGGAGGCGCTAAGGCCTGGGAGGCCCCAACGGGTCCTAGCGCCGGCCGCACTGCGGTCGCTCTGCGCGCGGCGCCGCTGGCAGCCCCTCCCGATTCCACCTCCACGGCCCCTGCGAACCCCGCGCGGCCCGGGCGGGGGCTGGCGGCGCTCTCCGGCTCCACGCTGGTTGCTTGGCCGCGCGCCGCGGGGCGCGCACCCCCGCCCACCCCGGGAAGCAGAGGCTTTGGAGCCTGGAGTGGGTGCGTACTTGGGGTGCAAGGGTGAAGGGAGAAGTGAGCCGCTCATTCACGGAGGTAAGCAAGTCTCAGAGCCTCTTCTGACTCTGCGATTCCAACGCTGGAAATGACCTCCTGAGCCCCGGCGGGGAGGGGCACGGGTATCGTTTCACTACCTGCTGCAGCAGAGCTGCTGGCACCAGGCACAGAAAGCACTCAAAAATGTCAAAGCCTGTCAGTGTCCTGTCCTCATCCTCAGCACTAAGGGAAAACTGGGGCAACAGAAAAGAAATCACATGGAACTGGAGGCCTCCAGGTGGAGCAGCCTTCCTTGGAGAGTGGCCCTGGGCCCCTCCGGAGGCCCACCCACCTGCCCAGAGGCAGGTGCTGCCCCACTCAGGCTCAGGGGCACCTCTGTAGGAGGGTGGGCAGTAGACAAGGCTGCACCCTGGGCCTGGCCTCAGCGATTCTCCATGAAGGTCATGGCTCTTCTCAGGAAGGTGATGGGTCACCGGGCCGGGATAGACGGCCTGGGTCCCGCATTTAATCCTCTATTACCCTAAAGGCCTTAGAGCCATGACTTCTGGGAACAGAGCACCAGTTATAATTACAGAATATCCCAGTATGGAATATCATGCAACAAAAACTAGAAAACTGTAGTGAGATGCTAAAATCACCCACTGCAGAAAGCAACCACCAGGATGTGACGCCACACAAAGTGCCATCCATTCACGCCACATGGGCCTGGATAAACTGGTGGAAAGTTCTGAAGGGGATGCCAGCGGGCATTGGATTATCTGGGGTGAGGGGAGCCGGAAGGAAGGGGAGGGGAGAGGGCATCTTTCCTCGCAGGGGTGGATCCTGAGCAGTGAGGGCTCTTGAGCAGTGGTGGCTTTTGCAGGGAGGATGCCCCAGGAGGATTCCTGCTCAGCAGGACTGTGCTCCGTGATTCTGGCTATGGGATAGTCTCAGGGGTGGCCCTCCACTTTGTAGCTACAGACTTTGCTTTGGCCCCAGGGGCCAACCATATATGGCCAATCTTATCCCTTGCCTGAAATAGAAACACAGTGTCAAAATAGCCACAGCGGAAACCCAAAGGCATCATTACATTCTCACCCAGAGACTGGTGGTTGGGGGCCCCATGAGGACCTGCCTGCCTTCTCTCTCTTCGATAAGGACTTGAGTCAGTGCTTAAGACACCCTTGCATGGACACTTTCTTTGTGATGCAGCTAGAGATGAGGCGGGTTGAAATGGGTCAGCTTTCTCCTGAGGATGGATGATAGTGTCTCTGTAACACTTACATGCCCCAAGAACCCCGGGGTTCTTGTGCCCTGTCACAGAAGGGGTGACTAGAAGCAGCAAAGGTGTGCAGACTGGAAAAGGACAGATTTCAGGAGCCAGTGTTAGGTGCCTGCGTCACCAAGGGTTGGCCTGGGGTGCTGGGAGCCCCCCAGATGTGGCATGGAGCACTGAGCTGGGCCTGACTCTAAGAAGGTAGATGACTCTAAGAGGGTAGATTTGAGTTAATCGTCAAAGTCACACAAGGGGTGAGCTCCCTGTCACCAGAGCACCCAAAACTTGGTCATTTTTATTCACTATGACTCAAGGGCTCTTCTAGTTCCCAAAGGTGGCAACTGGAGCTAGGGCGTCTCTTCCCCCTTATGCTTTGCTGTCACGTGGGACTCCCAGACTTCCCCTGGCTCCTTGTTCTCCATATTTCTGTCCTGTTGAATGGATTCCGTACATTCACTGAATTCTAGAAATTCTCTGACCCTCAGGCTACCTTCCTGGTGCCAGGTGGGGACACCGAAACCCCTGGCCTCCTTTTTGCCCTCAGTTTTTGTCCTTGCTACCATCCCCCCTCTACCAAGGGGTGGAAGTGTTGCTATGATCTGCCCCTGCTCTAGAAGAACCCCCCACCCCGAGCGCCCCACTGCAGGAGAGAGCCTAAAGCATTCAGCCTGGCATCTCGTGTGCTTCACATGCAGCCTCCAACTGGCCTTCTCACCGTGTCTCCTTCCTGGTGGGCAGAGTGGTGCTGGGCTGCAGGAGCGCAACTCCTGTGCGGGGCTCATCCTCCCATGCCTATCTCAGCTGGCACCGCTCTTGGGAAGTCTTCTTGGATGCTCCTCTCCTTCTCCTCCTGTGCCCTGAAAAGAAGCCCCACTGGAGGCCCCAGCACTATGGTCTCACTGTGTGATGGGCATGGACCTGAAACTGGTGGCAGAACCCATTGACCTACCTGAGAAGGAGGGCAACCTGGAGAGAGCAGCCAAGAAAGACGGAATCTTTAGGAATAATTCAAATACTTGGATCCAGTCACGCCTGGGGTTCATGCTCTGGAAGTCAGTCTTTGCTTCTCTGCCATTGCTACCAGGTGGGCTCCTAATACTGAAAGCAGGGTACAGAAATGAACAGACTCTACGAGGTGGAACTGGTGAATCAGATCAGATCGCCTTAACTAACCCTAGCTAGGAAGAGGGATCTTTTGGGTATCCCTTTCCACGAACTGCTTGACCTGCCTTCCATCTACTGGATCCCATGGCAAGACCAGAAGCCTACGTGCCAGAGTCACACAGATGACAGGGACTAAATGTTAGGCCTGTGGACTCCTCCTGTAAACTTCTCAAAGGTAAGGCGTCTTTCTTGTTCTCTTACTTATACGGTGGAGAGCCACTGTAGGCAAGCAACAAAGGCAGTCAGATGACGGGGATTGATGCAATGAACGCACCAGGCACGTTACACAAATGGGAGACCTGAGGTGCTAGAGGCTTGCATTAGACAGAAAGTAACACTCTCCAAGGGAGGCAATCCCGGGCAGTGTCAGCTACCCAGGCTCCTGCCATCTATCTTGTTGCTCTGCTCTGGCACTTTCACCTTTAAATCTAAAATGGTTGCCTGGATTGTAGCAATCCCACCTACATTCCAGCCATTTGGAAGCATGAAGTTGGCAGAAAAGAGGGCTCCTCTTCCCTTTAGGGACTCTCCCTGTAAGAGGCCCTTGACACTTTCAATTCACACCACTGGGCAGAACTTGAACACGTAGCTAAACCCAGAAGCTGGGAAATGTCTTCACACCAGGTGTCAAGGACAAGCAGGAGGCGGGATCACTGGTCGGCCCCTCTAAGCTCGCAGGTGTACTCCCACTTCAGGAATCTTTGCATGAACTGTGACCTCTACCTGGGACTCTTCCCCAGATACAGCCAATGTTCCAGTAACCGCACAGAACATTTTCACCTTCTGATGCTCCACCCACTCTCCCCTGGTAGCTCTGGGAAACTATTATCCACACCAACCTTGTATTTCATTTGTTTGTTTACTGGCTACATCCTATCCAGACTGTCAGGAACCCTAGAGCAGGGATTTCGGTTGGTGACATTCATTGTTGTGGCCTCAGTATGCGGCATGTAGTAAGTATTCAAGACATTATTTTTAAGCCATTTAATGTTGGGGAAAGGGTATTGAGCAGTGGCTGTGACCTGTGAGGTCACATAGTCATTGTACTCATTTCACAGATGAGGCTCAGAGGGTGCTGAGTCTTGCCCAGGGACACAGGAGGTGGTGGGCTGAGCTTTGAACCAGGCCCACCAGGTTCCAAGACCCACATGTCAGGTATGGAGCACATGGAAGGTGCCTAAAGAGAATGTGCCCAGAACTGGATTTTCTGGACCTGGAGGTGGCTGCGCCAGATGTGAGGACAGCCAAACTGCCTGGCCCAGTGGATCCTCAGCTGGAGCACGTGGCCAGATCAGACCGCCCCAATTAGCACACCTTTAAATTTAGCTTTCTCCTCCCTGCCAGGGGACTCAGGGATTCAGCAGAATAAGGCTCTGCTCCTTCGAGGAAAAACGCTGTACAGCTGGCTTTGCAGCCTGACTTGCAGTCGGGGTTGGCTGAGCCACACTTGAGCCTTTTAATGAAGGGCTGCTGGGCACAACCTGCTTTGGGGTGTGGGGTGAGCTTCAGGCAGATCTGCCTTCGATGGGGGAAACTGCCTGCTCTTGCCACACATCTCTCATCTGTCTTCCTCATAGTGAAGGCGGAGCTGGGCATGTCATTTTCCAGCCACATTTGCAGACTGAATATATGCAAACTGGGTTGGTGTCACTTGCTGTCCTAAACTCTCATAAAACACCTGTGGCCCACTGGCTGGATCTGACCTCTGTAACACATGCTCTCAGCTCCTTTGGCAGCCTTTATGCACTCCTCCTGCCCCGCTTGCTTCCTCCAGCTGTTCCTCAAACACTCCAGCACTATCCCAGCTCAGGGACTTAGCACGAGCTGTTTTTGGCTCCCAGGGCAATCATACACCACATAACCATGTTTTGGCCAATGATGGACCCCACATGCAAGGAGGGTCCCAACAGACTGTACCATAAGCCCAAGTGGGTAGTGGCTAGACCATCTAGGTTTGTGTCATAACACTCTGACATTTGCATAACCACAAAGGACTCATTCTCAGAACTCAGTTCTCAGACCTGTCCCCATCACTAAGCTGCAGAGAACTACGGGTCCTCCCCAGCTCTTCTCAAGGCTGGCTCTTTCTCAGTATTTCCGGCTCCAACAAGAGACCCTTCCTGTCGCCTCATGGTGGTCACCCACCATCAAAGCCCAAATCACCTGTTACCTGCCTTACTTGTTCTCACTGATTCCCAGCTTTCCTCGCTCCCTGGACAGATTGTGTGTTCAGTTGCACTTCTCTGTAGTCTGGTCCTCACAGGACAAATGAACAGAAAAATATATGTCAGAGTTAAGACAGAGGACGGAGAACTGGCTTGGAGATTTGCCCCTACAGCCCAGCTTCAGGATCCCCCACACTTCCTGTCCCCACAATCTCATCCTCTAACTCAGGAGTCAGCGAACTTTCCACGTAAAGGGTCAATAAGTCTGTTTCCGGGCCTCCCCTGGTGGCGCAGCAGTTGAGCGCTGGGCTGCGAAGCTGCCCGCAGCCTTTGTAGCGCAAGTTCGATCCCTGGCCACCGGCGAGGGTCCCACAGGTGTGCAGACCTCTCCTGCCCCCTGCTGCTCCCCTCAGCAGTGTGTTTCGTCAGTCTGCCTGCTCTGTTCCCCGCTCTGGCTCTGGTGAATTCCCTTAACCTTCCATGCTTCTGACTGTACCCAGTGCTTGTATATATAAAAAAAAAAGGTCTGTGTTTCCACCAGCCCACTTGGCCATTGTGGCTCAAAAGCTGCCACAGAAGATATGTAAATGCATGGGTGTGCCTGCCTTCCAATGATCTTCTATTTGTGGACAATGAAATTTGAATTTCATATACTGTCATGTGATGCTATTTATTTGATACTATTTATGTGATACTATTTATACTATTTATTTAAATTTCATTTACCTGTCATGTGATACTAGGACTCTTGTCATTTTTTCCAACCATTTAAAATGTAAAGAACCATTTTTATTTCCTGGGACCCACAAGATCAGATGGCAGGCCAGTGGACTGTCGTTTGCTGATCTCTGATCTCTCTTGGTCTTTAGTTTCCTATAAGTAGGTGTGTTTATAAATCTATTTGACCTTATAGGTGCACTTCTCAATCTATTAAATTAAATGTTAGCTCTCACATACTTTCTCCACTATATAAAGCTTCCCAAGTCAGCAATGAGGGCCCCCAAGGTATACTGACTTTTCTTGTCAATAGTAATAGTAGCTGATATTTGCGGAGTGTTTTTCCATGTGCTGAAGACTGCAAAACCTAAGGTTTTATTTTTTATTTATTTTTAAAGATTTATTTATTTATTTATACAAGCACTGGGTACAGTCAGAAGAACGGGAGGGTGAGAGAATTCTCCAGAGCCAGAGCAGGGAGCAGAACAGGCAGAAGGACCGAAGTACACTGCTGAGGGGAGCAGCGGGCGGCAGGAGAGGTCTGCGCGCCATGTGGGACCCTCACCTGGCGGCCGGGGATCGAACCAGCGCTGCAGAGGCTGCAGGCAGCTTTGCAGCCCAGCGCTCGACCGCTGTGCTACCGGGGAGGCCCAAAACCTAAGGTTTTAAACAAAGCAATGTATATCCCACTTTCCACAGGGCCTGCCTGACATCACTGTCTATTTACTATTTCCCTGTTTTGTTTTTTTATCCCAAATGTTTTACACATCTCATGATCTATTAGTTGGTCATTGTCCATTGATTTCCAACTCCCGAAGGTAGAGATTTAGCTCAGTCAGGTATACGGTTCCTCTAATAGCCCTATCACAAATGATTATTTTGTGCTTATATTATCATATATAAATGCAGGCCAAAGCAAGGTACACGAAAGAACACTTATTTTCTAGGATTTGTTTTTTGGAGTTAGTGATCACCTATGTTTTTTGTCTGTGCCCCTTTACCTGGCTGCTCCAATGGAACCAACTTTTCCATGCAAGGTCAGCTGCTGCCCAGCTGTGATCCAGGCCTCCCTCTTCTTCAGCACCCAGGGATTTCCAGTATGTAGCCCGCTTCTTGATCCAAGTTTCCCTGTTTCTTTGTTTGTGCCCTTGTTTGGGGGATGGGTACCCCCTAAGTGTTTCCAGAAAAAGCATTTTCTTTCACTTTCTTGTGAGCTTGGTGGCTTGGCCGAGGACAGTATGGTGGTGGATAATTTCTCTTATCTCATATCTTCCAGCATCCAGTCTTGGGCAGTTGAACAATCTGAGGCTGTCTCTGGAAACTTGTGGGATCTTCTGCTTAGTCTCCATATCCTGCACATTCACAGTGTGGATTTGTTGTGGTTCTGTTTTCACCTCTTGTCCTGGACATTCAGGGCTCTGTCATGTCTTCCATTCCTGACCACCTTTCTTGCATGATATCACTGGTGATTTCTCCCACCACGGTGTCCCAGCTCTCTCTTTGTGGAACTCCTCTTTGTCATATACTGGATTCAGCTCCTGACTAGTTTCTTTCTTTTTGTTCATTCTTCTTTTGTGAAAATTTCCTTTTATTTTTCTTCCAACCTTTCTATTGACCTTTTAATTTTGACTACCACATTTTTAATTTCCAAGGACTCTTTCTGGTTCTTTGTTCCTTTTCAAAAGGCAAAACTGAACTTGTTCCCTGTATACTATATCTTCTATTAGCTCTCTGAGAATAATATGCATGAGAGTTTTTCTAGCACGCTTTCTTCTGTTTTTGTCTCTTTCTTCCATATTATCATTTTTTTTAACTCTTTTTGAGTTTTAGATTCTTTATTGGCCAACAATTATAAGCACACTGCTATAGAGCATACAGAAGCCCCTTGCCATAGGGGTGGCTTTACTCCAGGGTGACTATGGGGAGATGGCCAGGGTAAGGGGTGGGGTCTAGATGGCAGCATCTGAGGAGTTTTTTTCTCATAGCCTCACAGCCAGTGTTTGGGACGCTTGCATTTTAGTTGCCAGTTTTCATCCTCACCCCTGAATTCTCCCATGCCCATGTCTGTAAGGCTGAAACTTTTCTGTGTGGTTAAGTATTAAAACATGAGTTTTAGTACTGATTTCTCCCCAGCTCTCTGCAAGTTTGATGCTGCCAGGTTTACTCCAATTTTATAGAGGATTAGTGAGTATTGGTGAGCTTTCCCAACACCCCAACATGGTCAATATGTTAAAGGGCCAAACTGGGAGCAGAGTCCTGCATGAAATGTTGACTTCTGGCTCATTCCAAGGAAAGTAGTAAATGTTTGCTGATTAACTTTTGAATAAATAAATTGCAGTGTTCTCACCGGTAGACTTCAGGAAGCCTCACAAGGGACAATCCATAGCACAAAGTAGGTATTCGATAACACACGTTGAATGAATGAGAAAAGGAAGATGTTGCAGAATGAAACCTGTCAAACTTAGCTCCATGTACAGAAAAGTATTTTTTTTTTTTTAAATGAGAAGGCACAGTCCTGACTTGGAAGGGGTGAGTGGGGCTCCTTTCTTTACAATGAGAGGGAATCTGGCAAAGCTCTGATAAAATGCAGTCTTGTATATGGATATTTCATATGCCTTACAGTGTTCATGCCCTTCCATTGAGAAACTCCATTTCATACATTTCACATATGAAAACATTTTCTGTTGTATTATCGACAAAATTTACCATTTTTTTTGTTCTTTTTTTTTTTTTTTAAGATTTATCTATTTATTTATACAAGCACTGGGTACAGTCAGAAGCTCAGGAGGGTGAGAGAATTCACCAGAGCCAGAGCGGGGAGCAGAGCAGGCAGAAGGACCAAAGTACACTGCTGAGGGGAGCAGCGGGAGTGGCAGGAGGGGTCCGCGCTCCATGTGGGACCCTCCTCTGGTGGCTGGGGAGCAGCCGGGGATCAAACCGGTGCTGCAGAGGCTGCAGGCAGCCTTGCAACCCAGCGCTCAACCGCTGCGCCACCGGGGAGACCCCAAAATTTACCATTTTTAAGTGCACAGGGAACAGAGTTCCCTAATATTATCCAGGAACATTTTGTTTAGGTATAATTTGTAATTTGAAAGTGATCTGAATGTCCAACAGCAGGGGAACGGTTAAGAAACCAGGACATGTTCATTTGGGTGGAATATTATGCTGCTTTTAAAAACTGTATTTCTTCTTAGTAGCCAAAAAGTGGGAAGAAAACAATTGTCTATCAGCTGATGAATAGATAAACACAACTAATCCATCCAGACACGAGACTATCAATATTATTGGACCATGAAAGGGGGAGCACCTCTGACACTCGCTACCACGTAGAAGGAGCCTGAACACACGATGCTCAGGAGAGAAGCAGACACACGAGGCCACGCGGTGTGTGAGTCCACTGACGAGAAATGTCCAGGACAGGTACAGGCTAAGAGAGAGTGTTCATGACTGTGAAGGGCTGGGGGAAATGGGTGGGGAGTGATGGCTAGTGGGCACAGGGTTCTTTTTAGAGGTAACAGAAAGTTTTGGAATTAAATGATGGTGATGGCTGTATAACACTGTGAAAACACTAATGCCAACAGTCACATGAAATAAACTGGTGAATTCCATATAATGTATACTTTGCCACAATTTTTTAAAAAATGAAATAAAAGCCAGCTCACCCACAAGCAGGAGCGCATGACGAGAAGACTGGCGAGAACGCACAGTGCCAACGGTGGGCGACTTTGCTTCCCTTCTTCCATTTTCTGAAATTTCAAGTTGTTTGTAACAGGAAAAATCCAGTGTATTAAAACATCTTTTGTTGTGTTATAGACACAAAACTTACCATTTTTAAGTGCACAGCTCAGTGGCATTAAGCACGCTCACACCGTTGTGCAACCATCTCTACCCTCCAGCTCCAGAACGTTCCCATTGCCCCAAATTGAAACTCTGCCCCCATTAAACACTAGCTCCCTCTCCCCTCCCCCAGCTCCTGGCACCCACCATGCCACTCCTCTAGGAATTAGGGATCTCCTGTGAGCGTCACACCGTTTGTGTCGTGTCTGTCTTATTTCACTGGCCACCACGTCCTCAAGGTCCATCCATATTGCAGCTGTGTTAGAATGTCCTTCCTTTTTAAAGGCTGAATACTATTCCAGCATTGTGTGTATGCATTCATCGATGGACAGTGGGTTGCTTCCACCTTTTGGTTACTGTAAAACATGCTGCTGTGAACAAGTGTGTAAATATCTGTTTTCCAGCACATTTTATTTTCAGAACTCAGGCAGGCATAAACAGAGTGCTGCTCCCCCTCTACTCCTAAGGCTGCTTTTTCTACCTTCAGGAGAATCATGGATTCCCTCTGACTTGTCCTTAATCTGCTTTACCTGAAACACCTTTTCAGCCCCGGAAGCAACACTGACACGCGTCTGGGGAGAAGATGGAGTGAACACTTGCCCAAACAAGAGGCTGGAATCAGAGAAGGCTTCAAGATGCTCCCTCCATCACTGCAGGCAACTTATTTCAGACCACGGCAACAACACATTTGCACTGGCACCTATCTTTCTGTGTTATCGGTGACTCTGCAGATGGAGTTGACAGATCTGCCCTTCTGATTTTGTCTTTCCTGAACTGCCTGCCAGGTTTGGCTGCAGCCCTGCCTACACGGCCCTGCGTCATCCCTCCCACAAGCACCGCCGTCTCCTAGCAACTTGGCTCGCCCTGGCAGCATCTTGCAGCTTCAGGTCCTGCATCCTTGTCTAGGGATACTATCCCCCCACCTCACTGTCTGACTTCTTTGCTCTGGTATCTTCCCGCCAGCCACCAGTCTGTTCTGGGGTCCGCTGCCTGGTGGGAAGAGGCTGGAGAGGACAGATCAGACCCCGCTGCTCTTTAGGCATCCAGCGGGCTCAGTCGCCCAGACGTCTCATCCATCTGGACCAAATACATCTCTAAAACTGCTTGAATTTGCTCTCATTTTCTAAACTTGGTTTTCTGGAGTTACGAGGAGGCAGATTTAACTCTCTCTCAAGTTTGTGTTTAAATTACCTGGGAGCAAAGCTAAGATCCATCTTCCCAGCAGCCAGGCATGGGACAGGTGCACAGTGGGTTTTGAGTTTGCAAGAGCTGCCTCTGCCACGGTGTCAGGAAGTCAGCCTGTAAACACCGTGTGTGGTTCCCACCAGCAAAACACGGGACTTTCCACACAGGTGCCGACCTGTCACATCAGCTCTTCACACCACACACTTCAGCCCCTGGTGCAGGGGGACAAGGTACAGCCATATTCCTTTCCATTCTGTTGCCACTTCCCCAAAGTCTCCTTGCCCCCACCAATAGAATCTTCTGGGAGCAACTTGAAGCATCTGACATATTTCTTGAGTATTATGTACCCAACTTGTTCTAGATTCTGGGGCCACTGTGGTGAATAAAGTTAAGGCAGGTAACATCCCTAGTTAGGGCAGATAACAAGTGATTTTAATCAGTGATGTGTGGCATAAAGAAAGTGAACATGGGACAGGTTGAGGTGGCTCATGAGAGGGAGGCCCTCTGCCTGGGGAGGTGGGGAGAGGTAGTTTACAAAGTTCAGATGTGGGGGCAGCATATGCCAACCCCTGGGGCAAGAACCAGCTTGGCTGGTCTGAGGCCCAGCAGAGACTGGTAGATATGGAGTGAGTTACTGAGGGACAAGGTGGCAGGGGGGATCGTGTGGGGTAGCAGTTAGAGTTTTATCCTGAGTACAGTGGACGTGGCTGGAAGGTTGAAGCAGCAGGGTGCCATGGCGGATGCAGAGCAAAAGTAGATGGCTAAGACGTCCGGATGGATTGGGTCTGAGCACAAAGGACCCCGGGAGAACTGCCTGGGGGAGGTGGCCAGCCTAGGTGGCTGAATGAGCGGCAGAGCTAGCACTGGAGATGCGGAGGAAGAGAGGGGTGTACAGGGTGAGGAGCTTAGGGAAGGGTGCAAAGCTGCCCTGGTGAAGTGGAAAATGCCAGACCAACGGGCTCTCCCCTGGTCCTGTCCCCCATGCCCTGCCTGTGGCTATGGCCAGGACCAGCTGAAGAGGGCTCTGCCTCAGTGTTGTCAGATGCCTCAGATCAGGCGGGGGTCCACTTCCTGGAGGTAGAGGAGAGTGGCTTGCCTCTCCGGTTTCCTGTCCAGGTCAGAAACAGGCTGAGTTTTGCCCGAGACTCCTTTTGGCCAGGGTGTGAAGCAGGTCCCAGGTCTCCCTGTCCTGGTCTGTGCTCACTCAGCCTGTGCTCTGTGCCTGCTGACAGGTGCCACTTCCGCTGGGGCCCACTGCCACCTGGTCCAGCCTCTCATACCTGTCCCTCTATGTCTCCCCACCCCTCCCAACCACAGCCGGGGGCTGCCTTCAGGTGCAAAGCTCTGTCAAAGCTGGGCTGGTGATCAGGACTCCATCTAAAACCCTTTCCCCCTCCAAGGTTTTCAATGAGGATTTGAAGAAACTTGGAGGGGAGCTTGCAACTCAGCTTTGCCACCCCTTCTCCAGGAAACCTTCTGTAGGCCCCACTGACTCAAGGGCTCACCATTCCTCTCCTGGGCCGGGTCAGGGTGGGCTCCTGCAGTGGTCTGCATGTGTATGAGGTTAGTACCTTTTGGGCCTGCTCTAAGCAGGAATCAGGCTTCTTTGCACCCCCAGAGGACACAGTGTGCGGACAGCCTGAGAGTGCCCCAACTTGGGGCACAGCCCCTGGGCAGCACCAGCCCCTTGAACTTCCTTCCTAACCACTCAGGCTCAGAGCCTCAGGAGAAATGCCAGTTGGTCAGCCCCTTTGGGAGAGCACAGCAGGGTCACCAACAAGGGACTGTGCCACCCACGCCAGGAGACAAGCACGGCTCCTTTATTGCCCCACCCCCCAACTGCCAGCAGCGCTACAAAGACATCAGTCATGAAGCCACATAGAGACCATCCCTGACACAGAGCAATAAAGCCAAGGGGGCCCAGGGAGCAGGGAGGGCGTCCACCCTTTGATGGACTTTCCTTTCTCAATGCCATTGGGCAGGTCAAGGAAACTCATTGCGAAGAAGGAGGCTAGGAGTGATGAGAGCCGGGGAACCCCCAGGTCCCCCAGTGCCAATGACCCCCATGCCTAGCAGCAGGCATGGCACCCAGACCCTGTTCCACAAGGTCAGCCCTAGAGACAGTTGGCTCAGACCCAGCCGGACCCAGGTCAGAGAGAATGGGAGGAGGGTGGAGAGGCCAAGCCCAGGTCCAAATGGACCTTGCAGAGCAAGTCCTCTGTAATGCAGAAGGCACACAGTGGTACAGGTTTGGGGGGTGTCTTCGGGGTCAGGGTAGACCAGGGTCAGGTCACAGATATTTCTGGGGGGTCAGGGGCGGGGCCGGCCTGCATGTTCACCATCCTCTGACCCTGTCATGCTCCCCATGGTGGGGCAAGAGATGGGTTCAGCTCAGGACCCAAGACCTCTGGTCCTGGAAGCATCTCCAGACTGTGGAGTTGGAGGGGGAGCAGCTGGAATTGGGGAGGACCCCAGCCTGGGCGCACCCTTGAGTGTGCCCAGCACCCAGCAATCTGGCCTGCTCCTCACCACCTGTTCCTGAATCTTCTGGACCAGGCTTCCCCACAGAGGGCTCCGCCCACATGATGTCAAGTCCACACATAGATGGTTTGTCCGAAGGAAGCAGCTTAGAAACCACATCCGTTGGCGGCCACAGGTGAATTTAAAGCCACAGCCAAGTCAGTGTGTAGTTTAAAGTTGGTGCGAGCACCTTCTACCCTGCCTTGGGGGGCAGACCCACAGGTTCAAGGGTGCTCCCCAGCCACACACATTGCCCATTGACTTGATTACTCTAATGAGCTAAAGCACAACCGTTTGTAAAGAAACACACAGAACGTTACTCGGAAGGAAAGCATGGCTGCCAGGTTGGGGGTGCACACCACTCAGCGGCGGGTCCGGCCCCCATCCTCCGGAGGCGAGTCGCTCATGCAGGCCCCTCGGCCCCGCTGATCCAGCTTCCTCTGAGCCTCGTACTCCTCCGATTCCCCGGTCTCCCGCAGCCTCTTCCGGAAGCGTGCCCCATACTTGGCTTGGGGCAGCCGCAGAGGGTCCATGCCCAGGATCTTGTGGATCTGCCTGAACGCCAACATGCGCAGGGCGTGCTGGGGGCAGATGGGCTGTCAGGACCCTCCCGCTCGAGTCAAGTGCCCAGCGCCTCACAACCCAGGGGCTTGTAACGTCAAACTTCAGTCATCCTCAAAAATGAGTATTTTGGGGATCCCTCAGGGAAGCGGATGGTGAACTTTGCTGGGAAGCCCCTGGGAACATCGGCTGTTTCCTACCTCACTACAGGGACCCCAAATCCTACATCTCCCAGTTCTGATCATGAGCAGTTTGACTCTCTGTTAAAGGCATAAGCATCATGGCCAGCGTGATTTCTGCATGGCTGGCAGACTCTCTTACAAATAAACATGTGGTGCTGGCCAAGATGGGCTGAGGGTGGGTGAACCAGAACAGCCCCAGCCAGTGAGGCCCCACATCTGCCTCACGGTGGCAGCTTTGCCTCTGAGTCAGGCTGACCCTGTGCTAAGAAGCTGTCCTTTCACCCAAAGGACACCCTCCCCAGGGACACACGTCTCTTTAAGGGTAGCGAGGGAGGGAAGGAGAACCCCAGACCATTTCCTGGGACTCTGAAAACTGAGGCTAGGAGTTAGGAGCTGCCCCAGCTTGGGGGAGCCGGTCCAGGCAACAGGCATCTTGGGTTGGCGCTCCTAACCTGGGCACTGGCCGTGATGTCCTCCCGCTCCTGGAGGGTCATAGAGCCGAGGGCATCCATCTGGTCTCTCTCACAGGGATCCTGGAGCCCAGGTCCATCTGTGGGGGGAAAGGGGAGACACAGGAGAGAGCACCATTGTGAAAGACTGTCACTGCTCCTCTGCAGGACCGTGGGGCCCAGGGCACATGTGCCTTGGCCTGTGACTGGACCACAGGGCGCCCATGGGGAGGCTTGCCCTTGGCTGCACAGATCTCCCCTGAGGGTGTCTCTCCCGGACTGCTCCTCCCTCTGTCCCGCACGTACATCCAGCAGAGCTCCTCTGCGTGTGCATGTGCGTGAATGTGCATGTGAGTGTGGGCATGTAGCTACATCAGTGGGTCAGACCACAGCCCAGTGCGTTATCCTTTTTCCCAATTAATACATCATCCCATGTCACTGAAATTACTGCTAAGCACATTCTGTATCAAGAGCTTCTGAGCACAGAAGGATGCGGCCTTGCCTTTCTCACTACTGTAAAACACACTGTGTTGAACATCTTCGTACAAAGCCCACCATTTGAGCTCCTGGTGTTTCCTTTGGGAACATTCCGACCCAGGTGGCGGGTTCCCCAGAAAGGGAAGTGTCGGGCAGAGAACAGTGAGCTAAGAGACAGGGGCGAGTCCTTTCCTACTCCCACCTGCCCACCCCTCACCCTTGCCTTCTACACGTGAGCATCTGGCTCACTTTCCTCTGTGAAGCTGCTCCTGGGTCTGGCTCACTCCATCTAGGTTGGTGAGTACTGTAAGTCTGCCAGAGCCCCTCTATGACCCTTGGTGTCTCCTGGCTGCCAGTGTTCTGGGCTGGCTGGTGATGGGGGCTGACCTGTCAGGAGAGTCCCCGAGGCCACACACTCCAGGACCCGTCTCACAGCATCCCCTGGGCTCAGGGGCCCTGTGGCACTGCTTAGAACCTTCTCCACCAGCAGCTCCAGGGCCTGGGCAGGGCGGGAACAAAAAAGGAGAGGCTCTGCCTTCAAGGAGAGCACTGTGGCTGCCTTGTCTCCCATCAAGCGGCTCTGTGGGGGTCAGCCCAACAGTTCCCTGGGGGGCATCTCCCAGCTCTTTCCCTCACTCCAACCACCCTTCATCTTCTATGAAGAAGGGTGACCAGTGGGGCCTCGCGGCCCCTGGTGTGGCCACAGGCAGGTTTCTGTACTCTCTCTGTCTCAGTTTCTCCACTGGCTAAATCCCATCAATGACAATATTGCAAACTAGCAGTAGGAGGACTGGAAAAAAACAAGTTCATTCTCCTCGGTGCATGTACATCTAGCTAGGGTATAATGACTCGATGGTCCCCTCAGGACTGCCCCTGCTCCCAGGAGTCACCTGCCTGTCTCAGAGCACCCTGAGGGTGGGGCCTGGACATGTGTCTGGAGTGCTATAGGGAGCTCTTCCACATTTACTGGGGAAATGGGTTCCTGGGGAATGTGGGGCCCTGTCGGTGCATCCATGAAGGGGTGGGGACGTCTCCCCTGCACAGGGCAGGAAGCAGAGGTCTGGACAGGCACAGAATCCTTGGACAAGGTCATAGATAGCCAGAGGCTGAGGTGAAAGGGGACTGCTAGTCCAAGAACCTGGTTTTGGGCCCAGGAGAAGAACTGGCAGCAGAGGACTCTGTATAAAACGCAAACAGCCTTCAAAGTTCAGAGTGCTGGGAGCACCCGCCCTCCCAGGGACACAGTAGACTTCAACACCTCATGTTGTCCTGACCGTCACTGGGAGTTGGGCATGTGAATGAGAGGGACAGAGTCCGAGACAGAACACGGGGTGCGTGGATGAGGTGTGATCCCACAGAAAGACAGGGCAGGGGTGGGGGTCTTACAACCCAGCATCTTACATTGTGGCTTGGGGACTTGGGGTCATGGGGGGGGCCCTTGGATCCTCTCTTCTCCTCTCTTCCCAGGGGATATGTTCTGGGTTCTCCTGATTGGGGGTATCAGAGCCACAGGGATCTCCCCTTCTGAGTAGGTGGGTCTGCACCACCTGCTCAGACAGGGGCTGCTCTTGTCCTTGCCAGGGCTTCTGTCCAGATGCCCACACAGGTCTAGGCAAACACCACACATTTTCCTGGTGCTCTGCATTTGCATGCCCCCCTTTGCTCTGCTTGCAAGGCTGCAGTGGTAAGGTAACAGCAGGCAAATCAGGCTGTGCTTGTAGCAGGCCTCTTCCTGGTCCCAAGGGACCTCTGAGACACCCTCCCCTGGTCTACCACTCCCAGGCCTCGGATGACACCTGCCCCTTCCTGAGAAGCCAAGCACTAGGAGCATAGGGAAGAAACGGGGCTAGACCCTAGGCCCCCTGTCCCTTCTCTCCCCACCCCCAGGCGCTGGCTTACCCAGTCCGGCAAGGCTCCCCAGGTGGGCACACGCTGGCAGAGGTCTCGAAGGAGCCTGATGACAATCACACACGGCTGTAGGCTGCTGGCTCTCGCCTTTGGGGAAGAAGCACGTGGTTAGGATCATCCCTCAGGGCAGAGAGGCAGGTCAGGGGTGCCTTCCCTCGCAGCGAGTCCCACGATAGCCAGCCTTGGGGATGGCCCATGGGGACAGAGTCTGCTTCTAGCTGACCACAGTTCTGAGCCCTGATGTTGCCTATTGGGTGGACACAGGGAATTTGCACCACAGAGCAATGACCACTCAGGGCCCACTCAAGTCAAGCGGTCAAGAGCAAGCTCCATCATTTACCGCTCAGCAGGGGACTGGGCCAAGCAGCTCACTAGGGAGGCGCCTCACATACATCTGTCCTTTGTGTCTGGAACCTGCGTGGTGAGACTACAGCCCCCAGGACAGTCGATGCCCTCCCTTCCCACCCGGGGCCCCTGACCTGGAACCACTTGGCATGGCGGAGGGCAGCCAGTGACTGCAGGCACTTCTCTGGGCTCAGGACATCTGGGTCAGGCAGAGGCGTCTCCATTCCTTCTAAAAGGAAAAGGAGAGTGGGTCTGAGGTGATGTGGACAAGGAGTAACCCCCTTCTCTCACCTTCCTGGGTCCTTCAAGTCTCTGGGCCCCATTTTATTTTGAAAGACACTCAGCTCATTCCAGATTGTCACCCATGCCCCCCACTCCCAGCCCCATCCACCAACACTTCAAGGATCAGAGAACTCCTTTCTGCCACTGTCTCCTCAAAGTGGACATGCTCCGAGGAGGAAGAGCAGCACAGGGTATAAAGCAGCTCCAGTGCTGACTCCCTTGTTAGTAAATTACAGTTAAGACTGAATTAAACCAGGTTTCCAGAAACTTCCAAATGCATGACTGAAAGGGAGAAAGTAGGTCAGATTTGGATACACCCTATCATGACAAAGGCCCCTATGTCTGGAAAAAATTCAGGTCCATATTTTACTTTCTTGCTCTCATTGATTCCAGAATATTCTTCCCACTTTATTCTAGGAGGACCTGGTTTATTTGGGTCATATGATGGAGCACAGGTTTCTCTTATAACCATAAAGATCCCCATGGATCTCTGCCTATCGTAGGCAAATTACACCTTCAGGGTGAGATGGAAACAAAGGGGTGTGTCCTTGAGGAGGGGTTTAGCGGGCCCCTCCCAGCAACAGCTGACTTGGGGCACCACTATCTAACAGAGTACCCAAAAGAGGCAGGAAACCCAGTTCCTGGGGGTATGGCCTCTGTCAAAGAACACTTGCCACAGGGGTTTCCGGTTCTCTTAATCCTTCCTTCAGCCTCTGTTAAGTGACCATTAACAGGGCAAACCCTCCAGGCCGTCAGCTAGAATTTACTAGCTTCCCCCTACTGTATTTTTTATTTTTATTTTTTTTTTTTAATAGAGGCATGCTTTATTTATTTATTTTATTTGTTTGTTTGTTTTGTTTATACATGCACTGGGTACAGTCAGAAGCGCGGGAGGGTGAGAGAATTCACCAGAGCCAGAGCGGGGAGCAGAGCAGGCAGAAGGACCGAAGTACACTGCTGAGGGGAGCAGCGGGCGGCAGTAGAGGTCTGCGCGCCATGTGGGATCCTCCTCCGGTGGTCAGGAAGCAGCCAGGGATCGAACCGGCGCCACAGAGGCCGCGGGCAGCTTCGCAACCCAGCGCTCAACCGCTGCGCCACCGGGGAGGCCCCCTACTGTATTTTTTAGATGACTATTACTTATGACAACTGTTAACAGTTTTCAACTCATGGTTCAAAGGCTTCTGTTTTAAAAATGTAAGTGTTAAGAATGAATTGATTTAAAGACAAATGGTAGTTCATTGCCTCCAGCCATGAGCAAAAATCACAAAGGAGTCAGGAAAGACTGGAGTTTGGGGGCTGTTTCAGAACTTGTGCAGCTTGATGCACAGTGTGTTCCTGGGGCCCAAGGTCACTGTGTCAACCAGGATCTGGCTGGTCTCTGGTCTCGCGGCACCTCCCTCCCTCCACTTCCAGGCAATACTGGTCAACCTCAAGCTTCTGAGCGGGTCCCAAATGAGTGGCACTGGGACTGGCAGGGTGTGAGGTGGCTCCTTCTATGGACAGATGAATGGACTCAAACAGCTCTTGCTGAAGATTCGGGACACTGCCCTCTGATCAGAGGAGTGGGTGCCCTGAATTGACTCCCGGGAAGGAGCTGCTCACCCAAGGTGGCTACCCACAGCTGGGTTCTGAGCCCATTTGACACTCTGTCACCAATTCATTTCCTCCGTTCCCCCAGTGTCCAGCTCTTACCTGACTCACGGCTGACAGATGTGCCAAGACACACTTGGTTACAGCACCCATCCCCCTCCTGCTGACCCCTTGTCCAGAGCAGGAGTGGACATGCCCGAGATCCCCCAGCTGTGTGGGGAGGGAGCTGTCAGAGGGCCTGGCCGCACCTCGGTCTGTGGAGGGGTCCTCCCGCATCAAGGGTGAGGTCACTGACACTGTGACCTGCATCCTGGGCTCCTCACAGGCAGAGATGATGATGTTGGCTTCAGTGTCAGAGGAAACCTGGTACTTGTCCTCTGTCACCACCTGCAAGGTGCAGATACAAACCAGCCAAGTTACTCCAGCTAGAGGTGTACATAAATAAGCAAGAGTGTGTTCAGGGGCTAGGTCCGTGTCCTGCAGCAGGCCTCCATGGAACTGGGAGCTGGCCCTACCCTCCAGGAGCACACCTTCCCTGAATCATCTGCAGACACTGGTCCTGCATAAGGCACCTTCAGATGCAAAGGGTGCTGTGAATCTGTAACAGGGTGGTCCCCAGGAAAGGGGGAGGTTCCCTGCCCCACCCAAGGGAGGGTGGAGCTGAGCAGGAAGAGGAGAAGCTGAAGAAGAGACTGAGGAAGGAAGCAGGATGGAGCCAGAAGGAGACCTGGAGGAGGCGCATGGAGCCTAGAGACACGTGAAGAAACTGCGCTTGTCTTTTCGTCGTGGACTGGGTGACACAGATGTGGGTGAGACCCGTGGGGAGGTGACAATGGCAGCTTTTATCTTGATGTTGATTTTGCTCTTTTCCTTCCGGGCTTGTCTGCTTGTTTCTGACCCTTTGCTGTGGGTCCCCACTGGAAGATGCTTTAGACTTGTGGCAGGCCTTGGGGCCTTGTTCTGGGCCGATCCCATATGGATGGACTTTTACCCACGAGGGGACGGGTAACTTTGGGTGCTTCATTTAGAAACTAGACTCTTTGCCTTACCTGTATTGTTTCCTAGTTTTATTAAAGATCCTTCCCATTAGTCTCATGTGTTTTGTGTTGATGCGGCGGATGGCAGAACCCATTTAGAATAGGCAGGTTTGCGGGGTTTGGGCTGCCCCTCTCCCTGTCCTATAACACATCCAGTTTGCCACTCAAAAAACTGGCATGTGATAGTACAGTGCTTGCAGAAAAACAAAAGGGAAGGACCCTGCCTACACAATGACACAGATCACCCCCATGTAAGAGTAAATTAAAATGACAATGAGATGCCTTGTCACCTGCAGGACAAAACTCTGGAGGTGTGAGGAGCAGCTAGACTGGCCAGCCCAGGCGGCCACTACCTGCTGAGGGAGGTTGGCCTGGCCACTCACGAGGGGCACCAGGTTCATACACTTGACCCATCAGCTCTGCCCCCAGGATGTGCTTCAGCATGTGGAGCGTGAACAGGTTATTTTGTGTGGCCTCACTGGTTAACACAGAACACTGGAAACAACCTAAATGCCCAACTCCACCACTCAGCCAGTTACGGAGCATGGCAGCAAGGCACTCCTCAGCCACGAGGATAAAGAACTCCTCAAGTACAACCGTGATCCGAGAGATGCTGTAAGTGAGAAAAGCAAGATCCTCTACGTGTGCTGACACGCTACTGTGTGGGTATAGAAAGGCAGGGTTCTGGTGGTTTCCCAGGCAGACTGAAGTCTACTTTGACTTCAGTCCCCATCCCATGCTTGCCACAGACCCTCACCTCAAGCACAAGCATCGTGAGGGCCCAGCGCCATCATGGGAGTGACTCCTACAGCGCCAGTCCCTTAGAAGCAGAGGCTCCGGAGAAGCTCGCGAGAAGCTCGAGCCTCTGGGTGCTGTCCTCCACCTCCCTGCCTTTTACAGCCTCTCCAGGCATTGCTCCTGCCAGTCCCTTGCTCTCAGGGTCTCAGCCACTTAGAACTTGCTCACAGCACTTAGAACTCCAGCTGCCTGTCCCCGAGGGAGCCTCACAATGAAGACGGATTTGGTGCAGTGACCAAGACTCTGAGAGGCCTCACCTCTTTCTGGAGTCACTTAGCCAGGTAATGGCTAATGTGCTCCAAGGTTCACAGAATTGTCTCTGCAGCCCTAGGGCTGTCTCCCTGTGGCTAAGCAGTTTTTTCCACATCTGGCCAGAACAGGGATTCCCAAGTCAGATTTGGGGTTAAAATGCTTCCCCTGGGGCCTCCCTGGTTCCAGCTAGGCTTCAGTTCTTTGATGAACAGGGAGCCCAAGGCCTGCCTTGGGTTCCTATGTTTATCCTGGGAGAACTGTTACTGCTTGGGAGAACTTACCTGGGGGTCTGCACCTTTGGGCTGCCTCCTGCATGCATACCTCAGGTTGGCCTGACACCTGAAATACACCATTCTCCCCGTCCATGAACCCCCCCTCCACTGAAGGCCTCCATGTTCCACCCCATCTACATGGCAGGAGTGGTGTGTATCACCAGCTCTCCCACAGCCTTAGCATTTCCGTGGGGGCTCAGGGTGTGGTTTAGCTGCTGGGCTGTGAGTTTCCAGAGACAGGGCCTGCCTCTGGGCCTTCACTGCAGCCCTGTGGTAATAGCAGACAACCGGGGTGTTGCAGGCTTTCAGAAAGTGAGTGGTTCAGTTGGAGCGCATCACTCCCAGCTTCAAACCCTCTAGCCACCCCACTCCCCTGGAGAAGCAAGTCTGCCTTGACCCCGTCCTGGTCCCTCAGGCATGCTCTTCCAGGGGCTCCCCCAGGGGTTCCTCTCAGCCTCTGCAGGTGCAGGTCCTCCTGGCAGCTCCCTCACAGCTCTCAGGGCCTGGGTTTGCCTCACACACTGCGTCCTGTCAGGACGCCGCCCTTCAGAAGCAGCCCTGCTCTCTCCTGGCACCTCCTTTAGACTCTTCTCAGGAGATACAGTGTGAGTTGGCTCAAGCGCTTGTTTAGTCTGCCTCGGGATGGGCTGGCTGCCGCAGCAGCAGCACTCAGTGAGTTGGAGGTGCCCTGCTGAATTCTCGGGGAGCAGAGCAGACGGACAGATGGATGCAATGGGAAGGCGCCCTCTGGCAGCGGCTGCATCGGACCTAAAATGATCAATCTATTCATGACAGGACGTGCCTCTCCCAGTCACGACCTCAGGTGAGGAAGCCCTATGGCAACGACAGAGAAACCAAGCTAGAGGAGAAAACCCAGCCGACCTCCCACAGTCCTAAAAGTGGGTTTTCATCTCTCCCCGCACTTTCTAGGCTTGAGGACAGGAATCTCACAGCCGCACCCGCACGTGGCTGCCAGGGTGGATCTCATCGCCATCTGTCCCTCTTAGTGGCAGCTGAGGCTCTGCCTGTGAAACGGCCTAAGTTAGCATTCCTCAGGCAGGGCATTTAGGTTGTTTCCAAGTTTTGCCTTTGAGACATTATAATGTACAAGAAATGTATATTTGGTTATTCAAATAACCAAAATGTACTTCTCATTCATATTTGGTCTTCATTCACGGTTCCTGGCTCGCAGCTAAGTGTTATGAGGGATAAAAAGGTAAATGTTATGTGAGTGAGGGGACATTTGGGGATGCACCTAAGGATGGGGGCTGGTGTACATGCCATTAAAGGGTGGAACTCCCAAGTCCCGACAGCTGAGCTCTGAGAAGGCGCAAGGGGCAGGAGACTGAGTTCATTGCCAGTGGCCAGTGGGTCAAACAGTCATGCTGATATGAAGCCGTCATAAAAACACAGAGTCACTGGTGAATCCTCTCACCCTCCCGCACATCTGGCCTGTGCCGCGGTTCTTGTGTACATGAATAAATAAATCTTTAAAACAAACAAACAAACAAAAAACCCAGAGACAGACTTTAGAGAGAGCGAGCTTGCAGGTTGGTGGGTATGTGGCGATTCGGGGAGAACGGTGTGCCTGCAGAGGGCACGGAAGCCCTGCGCCCTTTCCCCATCCCTGCCCCATGCGCTCTTCCATCTGGCTGGTCCCGAGTTAGAGCCTTTGTAATGAATCAGTGATCTAGTGATTAAACCAGGTTTCTTGAGTTCTGTGAGCTGCTTTAGCGAATTAACTGAACCTGAAGAGGGGGTTGTGGGTAACCTCTGATCTGTAGCCAGTTACTCAGAAGGGCAACTGAGTATGGTCTTAGGAGACTGAGCCCTTTTCCCACGGATCTGTGGCAACTCTGGATACAGTGTCAGAATTGAAGTGAACTGAGAGGAAACTGTTGGTGTGGGGAAGCCTCTACACACATCCACACTGCAGCTGGGACCAGGAGCCTGACCCAGCCCTGAACTCACCTTATAAAGGAGCCCTGAGGTAGCCAGTGCTCTCTCCTGGTGAATGTTTATAAAACCAAACTGCTCTGTGTCTAACAGTGAGGCTGTGTACCTTAAAAGTGTGTGGCAACTGAGCTCTCCCATCCAGGAGTCTTACCAAGAGCTGCTGGGGCAGCTGCTCGGCAACTCTCCGCAGCAGGGTGTGCGTGGGCTTCTGGGAGCATAGCAGGATCAGCTGCACCTTCCGGTCGCCCCGAAGAAGAAGGCCTTTGGCCAGGACGCCCACCCGCATCACGCCTTTCAGGATCCGAGTGGAGGGGTTGAGGCCACTGAGAAGACAAACCCACAAACACGTGAGAAACAGGGGTAAGGGAGAGAGGGGGCGCGGGGCCTGTGTGGTTCCTGGCTCTGTGCTCACAAGCTCCTGGGATGTCAGCAGCTGGAGGTCCCCGTTCCTCAGGCTCCTCATCTGAGAAACAGGAGCACACTCCTCCTGAAGGGGAACCTGGTGGCAGGAAGGAAAAGCACCTTGGGAACTACAATCAGCAAAGTGTATGTGTTCAGTGAGGGCTGGAGATAGCAGTTATTTCCCAGTAAACCGTGTACTTAGAAAGCCATCACAGTGGCCCCTTGGTCCTCACCAGCTGCCTCACCCTCCCTGTCTGCCTCCCAGTCCTGCCCCTCGGCCCCCACGTGACCCAGGGCTAAGGCCAGCTCTCCACAGTGAGGCTCCCACTATACCTATCCCCCTAGGGCTCCCTCCACAGGCCTGGAACACCAAGCTTCTTTAGGGCCAAGGCCACGCCATCCTGGCCCCCTGGCTCTTAAGCCCCTCGAAACTCATTCCCGAGGACAGCTGCTGCCTGGGGTGCCCTCATGTGGTGGATCTTGACACAAATGTCCCCTCCTTGGCTCCAGAAGCTGCCACCTGCCCCTGTCACTCTAGAATTGCCACTTTGTTTTCTTTGTGACACTTTTTGGGATTCTAGATAACTTGGAATTTTTTACAACTTTACATATTTCTTGTCTGTTTCTGCAGCAAGAGTGCTGGAGCCTGACACAGCCCAAGGGGACCTGGCTCAGGAAGCTGCCAGCAAAATTCAGACCCAACCCAGGACACTTGGATTACAGCGCAAGGATCAGACTCTTCAACCAAGACTTAGGACTCACCAGGGAAGAGAAAGCATAGAGCAGGGGGTAGGGGAGGTGCAACAAAGACTTAGAGAATCCCACTTAACACAAACTATAAAACAAAAACTCAAAACACACAAAAAAGCACATCATGGAAATTTCAGCTTTGACTGGACATTTGATGATATTAAAGAATTATTGTTAAATTTTTAAGTATGATAATGGTGTTGTGGTTCTATCCAAAAAAAGGGGTCCTTATTGTTTAGAGAAATGTACTGAATAGTAAATCAGTGGTATGATGTGGACACAATTTCCTTTGAGCCTCTACAGGAAGAGGCAGGGAGGGGGCCAGAAATCGAGTACGTCACAGTGAGTAGATCATGCTTTATGGCGGGTGACATGGTGTTCATTTTAATTTTACTATTCTGTCAACTTTTATATATTAGAAAATTTCCATACTAGAAGTTTTAAAGAAGAACCCACTATATTCCCCTTTGTACTAGTTAACTAAGTACTGGGACATCCGCAGAATACTTCATCACGTTCCCACTAAAAAAACCACATTTCCATGTCCTGGAAAAGTAACCTACATGTAACATGACACAACATTACATGACAGCTCAGAAACCAGGAAGTGGTGCCCAGGTTTAGGGAGGAGTCCGGGGGCAGCATCCAGGGGTGTCCCTTTGTGCCGCGGAAGGCTGTCTCCCAGCTGGCAGGTTACAGGGCTCAGTGAGGTGATGAGATGCATGGACTGCACAGGAAGCCATCTGAGAAGGGCCTGCTAAAAATGGGAACATGGAGGAGGGTGTGGGGTTCCTGACGTAGACTTCCTGCCTTGACACTCTAGCTGCATCTATGTGCCCACTGCTGGGAGGGTGTTCCCAACCTCTGTGCTATTTTTGTTACGAGTCCAAACTGTTTCAAAATAAGAAGTGAAAAACTAAAGACGTGTACAGGGAAGGAAACTTTAGGACATCAGGGAGGGAGACTGTCCTTCTCCGTGTGCTGCACTATCAGATTTACAATCAGCAGCCAGGGAGAGTGGAAGTGCAGGACATGCCCTGCCCAGCCTGGTGTGGCCCGGCCCAGGGCCAGCCTGCCCTGGACAGAGGCATGCCTGCCTCCTTGCTGTCCCAATGCTAGAGGCCAGAAGGGCAGGGCTTTAGGGCATGTGTCACCCATAGGGGGCTGGGACAGACCACATTTTTTTGATTCAGGAGCAAGTATCAAACCCTGGACCAGCCTCAGAGCTGGGATGGCTCCCCCTTCAGGGACTCTGCTCATTGGACTTTGCTAATGAGCTCAGGGCAGGCTGAAAGAAAGGGTTCTTTGTGCCCCTGCTTTCCCTACCAGGGAGGTGAAGAAGGCTCATTCCTCCAAGGAGATGCAAGATCCTGGGGAGATACTGGCCTGAAATTGAGGGGTAAATTCATTTTATTACAACACTTTGTAACTTGGAAGGGGACAAGTTTTTTTCTAGAGAACACTATGGTAGAAAGAAGCTACCCACGTTGAGTGAACAGGCCAAGCCAGATATGGTGGGGTGGGGGAAGGGTAGTGGGGTGCCAGAGGCTGGGGGATTTATTAGGGATACAGTTTCAGCTTCAAATGATCAAGTTTCTGTAAACAGAAGTGGAGATGGTTGCACAACCTCATGAATGTTTCTGAAAACACTAAAAAGATCTACTAAATGATCCAGCAATTCCACTCCTAGATCTACCCAAAGAATGCAAAAACACTAACGCAAAGGGATCTATGCACTCTTGATCACTGCAGCACTCTTGACAATAGCCAAGATATGGAAACAACATATCTTGGCAATGACAGATTGAATGGATTAAGCCCAATGACAGATTGAATGGATTAAGCAGATAGGCTATACACACAGGATGGAATACTACTCAGCTATAAAAAGGACAAACTCTTGTTACAACATGTATGGAACTGAAGGGGATTATGTTAAGCAAAATAAGCCAGAAGGAGAAAGGCAAATACCAGATGGTTAACTCATAAATGGAACACAGAAAAACCAAATAAAGGATCAGAAAAAATAAACCAAAAACAACCGCTAGAAATCTGGCTCAGAAGTGAGGCTACCAGGAGGGGAGAGGAAGTCACAGACCAAAGGAGAGAGGGGGCCAAATGGCCTATACAAGTATACACACACAAATGGTCAACATAGTCGGTTCCATGTTATGCATATTTTACCACATACACACACGCAAAAAAAAACTAAAAAAAAAGAAAGAAAGAAAAGCTGTCCGGGGGTCTCCCCGGTGGCGCAGCGGTTGAGCGCTGGGTTGCGAAGCTGCCCGCAGCCTCTGCAGCGCCGGTTCGATCCCCGGCTGCTCCCCGGCCACTGGAGGAGGGTCCCACATGGCGCGCAGACCTCTCCTGCCGCCCGCTGCTCCCCTCAGCAGTGTATTTCGTCCTTCTGCCTGTTCTGCTCCCCGCTCTGGCTCTGGTGAATTCTCTCACCCTCCCGCACTTCTGACTGTACCCAGTGCTTGTATAAATAAATTAATAAATCTAAAAAAAAATTGTAATTAAAAAAAAAAAAAGAAAGAAAAGCTGTCCAGAGAGAAGGGACGTAGAAGAGCTAATCCCCCCGAGATTACTCAAACCATGTACCATTCGTTATAACGCAGGGGACTGGCCCAACACTCAGTGACTGGAAGGTCGATACCTGGCCCTAGAGGGGCTGCTCTGAGGACCTGTACGCTAGGGAGGGGGAGGGGCGGGTCACAACATGCTTCTATCTGCCCCAGGACAGAGAGGTGGTTAATCCATTGTGAACTGCACTTCTAGGTGCCCCTTCAGTAGGAAAAGTAAATTCTACTGTTAGAACAACAGCTCTCAGCAGATGGAACAGACACTCCTGGGAGCCTTGGTGCTCTGGTCCTGAATTTTCTGCCTTCGCCGGAGAGGCTCAGGAGCTGAAAGGGCTCAAAGTGATCAGATGTACACCTGTCCCTCCTGGCAACACTCCCTTTCTGGCACTGGGCTTCTGCTCCAGAGGAAGCACAACCCTCAGCTCCTGCAAGGCACCCCGGCCTGGAGAAGATGGGTGATCTTTATTACCTGCGCTCACTGCCCTCTTGCTCTGAGTTTCTGGAACTCTCCTGAGCCAGAGTGTCAGACACCAGCTTAAGCGCTCGCTCTGAGTGGGAGACGGCCTTCTGCACAGCCCGCAGCTCCTCCTCTGTGGGGTAGATGGTGGCATGCTTGCACATTACGTGCCGGTCGTCACTGGACTCCGGCCGCTGAGTGGGCTGTGGGTAGAGGGATGAACAGTGTGGGTGGGTTGAGGGGTCCTAGGATCTGGTGGGCAGGGGACGAGTGTCAGCCTGGCAGGACATGGGGGGTGGGGAGCCAGAGCCAGGCTGACTTTGGGATGATGGGCAGGTAAGAGCCTAGTCGAGGAAAGGTGGGTGCCCGTGGGACAGTGAACGAGCTAGGACCTGGGGTCTCCCTGGTGGCTGGGAGAGCTGGGTTGAGCGTGAGCCCAGAGGACTCTCTTCTGGTAATACTCTCACATTTCTAAGCCAGTGTCTGGTTCACCCACGTGGGTCTCTTCCCTTGGTGAGGTGCAAGTCTAAGGGTCCTATCTGCCCAGGGTCTGGTCTGAGGGGAAGATTGCTGAGGGCTTCTGAGGGCCGTGACACCAGAGCCTCCGGAAGCTAAGAGACACTGTGGCCATGCTAGGGCAGGGCCTGGTGCCCCTGGTGACCAGAAAGGGGGCTGGGTTCTTCCAGTGCCACCCCTTTCCACCCCCACCCTGGAAGGCCTAGGTACAAAATTTAGCCTCCCAATCCGGAAAGATCCCAGGTCTTTCTAGTGAGGGAGTGAGAAAGTCACCCACCCTGGGGGCTACCACCCTGGGAGGCATGTCAGCAGGGAGAAGACAAGCCCCCCACCCACCACGGCCGCAGGGGCGGACTCCCCAGGCCTGCCCATGAGGGGCAGAGGGCAGGCAGGTCTTGAGTGTCCCGGGAGCTCGTCCTGGGCGGCCGATGCCTGCTCCAGCCGCCTCCTGCAAATGTCATATTGCCTGTGAGATGAGAGGGGACAAGGAGCTGTGAGCAGCAGCACAGGACCCCAGGCTTGCCACTTCAGCCACATGTGAAAGCCCGCGTGGCTCCTCGCCATCAAGCTGAGTGGGCTAGGGCTCCAGGCTGACAGGCGACCCGAGAGAAACTGTGATTACGTGTCCTGCACGAGCCCTGCCGCATGCATGCCAGGGAGACATGGTTGCAGCCCTAGGACTGCCCTGGCGCTCCCCAGCAGACTCATACTGCGAAGCTTTCCAGAACCTGGCGCTATGACAGAAAGCGTTTTGCAGTTGCTCCAAAGGGTGAAGGAGGATGAGGACCAATGTGTGGGCAGTGGACACCAGGGGCCATGGGACACTGGGGTCATGGGTTCAGGGGACACCAGTGCAACCCCGTAAAGCAGGCTAACAGCGTCTCCCTCTTGGTTTGCATGTGCCCACATTTAGCAGGTGAACAGCACTAAGGAAGATCCTTAGAGGACCTGTGTGAGGTACTGGCTTGCTGTCAAGTCCAGGCAGGCCCCCAAACCTGGCAGACGGCAGGTGGCAGGTGGCAAGCAGCGCCCAGGCCGCACCTCATCTCATTGTGCCAGCGCCGCATGGCCTCCAGCCGCCGCTTGGTCAGCTGCCTCTGCTTCCGCAGCCGCTCCTCCACAACCCGCAGGGTTCGGGGGCTGGGCTTGATTGCGATGGGAAGCTCTGGGTTCACTTTTTTCTGGAAAGACAATAAGAGGCTGTACATGGAGCCATTCATCTAAGGAGACTGCTGGGTCTGTCTCGGGAACCTAGACACTGGGCTTCAACGCCAGTCTTCCACTCCTCACCCCTCAAAACCACAGTGGAGAAAGGGAGCACTGAGCGGAACAGAAGCACTGAAAGGAACAGAAGTAAAACCAACACCCAGAGTTAGCAGGGGACACAGTGATGGCAGCTGGACCCTGTCCATGCATCCGACAAATCAGAGAAGAAGGTGACACACACCGCTGGTGACCACTGAACGTGATGCTCATCCCCAGGCAAATAATTCAGGACAGCATCATTGATGGGGAATCCACCAAAGCAGTCATGCTTTGATTAAGAGTGGAGACACATTCCAAGATGATTCTGTCACTGTGCACAGAGCGAGGCATGGCCCACTGCACACCAGGTACAGGGTGCAGCCCATGGTGAGCGTCGCACACGCACACCGTCCTTGATCCAAGCATCGTCGTGTGACACATCACTGTGTATGTGTTAGATTACATTGCCAATTCAACTGCTGAACTTTTGTTTCTAGCACATCATTTTTGTCATTCAGAAAGTCTAATGTGTTGTTTAAGGGTTATTCACTGGTACAAAAAGCCCAAGTGTCCACAGCTGATGAATGGACTAGCACATGTGGTCCATCCAGGTGCTGAAATATTACTAAGCCATGAAGGGAACTACTGTGTGGATGGGCCTTGAAAACATGATGCTTTGGGAGAGAAGCCAGACATGAAAGGTCACATAGCATATGATTTCATTTAAAGAAATGCCCAGAATAGGAAAATCCATAGGGACAGGAAGTGGATTCAAAGATGCCAGGAACTGGAAGATCATGGGGAGTGACTGCTAATAGGGACAGGGTATCATCTTGGGGTGATGAGAATGTTCTGGAATGAGGTAGAGGTGAAACAGTGTGAGTCATTAAATTGTACACTTCAGATTGTGCCTTGTGTGAGTAATATCTCAAAGGTGAAAAAAGAGCGGAAACACACAAAAGCACTGTTTATCACCCTGCGTTACATGTGTACTAGTACAAGCGACCGAGCTCTGACAGCCACACATGTCTGAACACACACAGATGTGTGTGTACACGTGGGATGGGCCTAGTTGCCCAGCAGACCTGTCAAGGGGAAGCTTCAAGAAGGCAGCTGAGGACCTGTGGGAATTCCTTGGCCACAAAAAATCACACTCTTGGGTGGGAGAGGGAGGCACTTGCCATCAGAGACCTGGATTCCCTGGGGGTGGTTCAGCCTAGACAGCCTGCTGGCCCCTGCAGCAGCAGCCCCTCTGGTCATACCAAGGCCCTCAGGCCTCTCCAGCTCTCAGGCTCTCTCTATCCTCCGCGCTGCAAGGTGCCCACACACCTCTCCAAAGGGGTGACCTTAGTCAGGGTGCAGCACTCCCTTCTCTGCTAAAAAGCCAGTGCAGGCTACTGGCAGAGGCCCCAGAAAAGAATAAGGGGAGTATGTGCCAAGTATCAGAGAAGCGGTGCAGAGCGACTGGAGAGGCCACGCTGTGAGCGCCGCTTCCACACATCTGCGAGTTCCTCATGCTTGAGAACTTCCTCTGGCAGCAAGAGGGTATGAGTCTGAAAGTAAATATTTATCAGCAAGAGGTAACATACAAGGGCAACTACAACCCTGTGTCGTCTCCTTCAGTCACCAGGTGTCAGGAAACGCAGTTCCTCAGGCAGCCTGAGAGGTTTTCTCCGACCCGGAGTCACAGTCTGGGGCTCAGCCCAAAGAGGCAAAAGGTACAATTTGAGACATTGGACCAAGGTATAGAAAACAGAACTTTCCCCTCCACCCATCCTGGTTAGGCAGAGGGATGGGCCTGGTGCCCCTGCTGGACGCACCTTGTACTGCAGTCGGTGGCGCCGGCCCCGAACGTGCATGTCCCTGGCATTGTGGTCGTTGAAACTGCACGCACACAGCTTGCAGTGGAACCGTATCACTTTACCTTCATCATTGCACACCTGAGACACAAATCAGCTCGCAGTCAGTGGGTCTGGTCCTCAGACAGGGGCACCTCCTTCCCTGTGAGAGCACCAAACCCGGGGTAGCCCAGATGTGGTAAAGCCAGGTTGCCAGCTTCCTGTTTGCCTGGTGGCTTGTTTAAAAAATTTCTTCCCAGAGGTTTTATTCTAAAGGGCAGTTTTCAGAGGAGCTGGTATTTCGCCAACAGCTCTGTCATGACCTGCACCCCCATCCCCACCCCCACTCCCCCAGCACAGCCACCTGGCCCTGCCGTCACCCTGTGGCGATGTCAACCCACGTGTGCCTTCCTCTGGCTCCTATGGCCTCATGTACCTTCTCCTCGTAAACTATGGAATGACAGGGTCTCCAACAGCAGGAATCCCGTCTGGAATGGCTATTTTGCACAGGACAAACAGAAGATGCTGACTGGCTTCCAAGAACATAAACACGAAGACACATCAGTGCTGACTCCACGCATGTCTTCGGGAGTGAGACCCGGCTGGAGCACTTGGGGGTGAGGGCGAGGAAGGCACACCTTTCAGGGCTGTGGGCATCTGGGCTAAGGCTCTGAGGATCGAGTGCCTATGGGTGAGGTGAAGGAGATCTATCCCTGCCCGGGGCTAGAGGCAAGTGACGTGGACAGAGACCTGGTTCTGCTGTCTACCAGTCTGGCCTCTGCAAGTCCTGAGACCCCTCAGGCCCAACAAAGGCACAAGATGGAAGCTTTCCAAATGCCTTCATTTTCCAGAGCCTGGATTTCTCTACCTGCTTTTCTGCAGGTATAAAAGGCTGCCTTGCAGGAAATGCCTCTGCTTGTACCACGTGTTGTTTCTAGGATCTGAAACCCAACACCTGGACCTTCCAGTGGGCTCAACTGAGGTCTGCCGGGGACAGGCTTGTAAATTTCAGATGTCCTGTGGGTGTGACGGCTATCGGCATTTACCTCTTCCACGTACTCTGGGCCCACTGGCTGTGAGTCACAGCAGCTTCCAGAAGTTTCCTCAGAGCCTCTTTGAATAGCCAGTTCTCTGGGCTCTTCTGGTTTGGCCTCAGGGGGTTTGCTACCCACTGCTTGTTCCTCAGAAAGCCCTGGAAGGAAGAACTGTGTTATTTGTAATTCAAACCAAGGAGGGCTTCCAGTCTGCCATGTGGAGAGACCACCACACAACTGTTTCCCGCTGCCCCCTTCATCCGCTGCCAGCCCCACTTCCCGCCCCTGTGGTATCCCACAAGACCCTTTCATGCCAGCTTAAGCCACGGCTGAGAGAGTGGGGCCCACACCATGCTGGACAGCAGTTCAAATGCATCCCGAGAGAAGCCTGCCTGGAGGCCCCACTCGGGATGCTCCAGCTGGATAAAACCTGTTGCCCTAGCTCACAGATGAGAGATGCCAGGAAGGCCGAGCACCAGGTCAGCCTGGTTCCATTGGACAACTCAGCGACCCTCAAAAGGAAGGCTTTTTTGTTATCACAATTGTTTTGTGATCTGGTCTTATTTATTTGATCTGGTCTTTAATACCATTATTATTCAAAACTCGGGGTTTCCTGGGCCCCTCCTTTGTCAACTGTGGTAGTGAAGGGCAGAGACTGGCAGACTGACCTCAGTTTGACTACCACCTTCACTGCTTATGGGTGTCCCTTGGCCAGTCACCAAGGGACACCCTTGCCTCACCTCAGTTTTGCATCTGAAAATTGACTCATAACAAAATCTACTTTAAAGGGTCATGTGGGTAAACCATAAAGCAGGCAGTGGAATACAATCCCAGTGATTTCCAGCCCAAGCCTTGTCACACAGAGGCAATTCTACCACATCACAGCCACTGAGTCCCCCATGAGAGAGAAGGCAGGGCCGAGGGTCTCCAGGAGCCACAGACTCATCAGAGCAGAATTTGCCCACCAGAGCACAGGAGCCTGCAGGGGTGCTGCTTCCCAGCACAGACACGTACCCGCACGTGTGGCCTGCGAGGCTGGTGGTCCCTTGGGCAGCGCTGGCTTGCTCAAGTTGTGTGTGTCAGGGCCGGCAGGGGCCACGGGCTTGGCGGAGGTGTTGGGTGGGCTCTGCATGGCGAGGGGGGCTGGTTTGCCAGTGCCAGTGGGCTGGGACAAGCTGGAGTTTCCTGGTGCTGGTTCTATGATGGGGATGGGCTTTCCCAATTTGGTGTGCAGCTTGAAGACCTGGAACAGACCCAGGCGTCCCTGTCAGGGCCACTTCTAGGCCTGGTTAAACATATTCAAGAGAAGCGGAAAATGGGGGCTGGGGCAGGAGCAGCAACCTGTAGACATGATCATCCCCAGTCCCTGGGAGCAGCATGTCCTCTAGAAGGCCCTCTGAGTTGCCTCCTGCTACTAGCTCCCCACTAGCCACACATACAGAGGCACACACAGTCACGGCGGCTTAACGACTGGGACGTGTTCTGAGAGATGTGTTGTTAAGGGGATTGCATCGTCTGCAAAGGTTATGAGCGTTGTTACACTGACCTGTTGGGGGAGGGCCTGCGATGCACCTAGGCTGATGGCAGAGCCCATGGGACCACTGCCATTTATGCCATCCCTCTTTGACTGAAGTGTCAGGAGATGCATGATTGCGTGTCCATCCCGCTGACTTCCACCAACCCTTTCCCTCCAAACACTGCTTGGAGCTCAAAGGCCACTTTCTACCTTCCAAGCACCAGTCCAGTGCCCACCACAGATGGGGGCACAGCATGCCTGGAAGATGGTGGTTAAGGGCCACATTCTGTAGGAACGCATAGACCCATGGACACAGATCTACCTAGAATCCTATCTCCTCTCCCCCATCCTCAGCAATGCCCTCTCCCTACCCCATTCCCCGGTTAAAAGCCCTTATTGCAAATGTTCCCATTGGAAAGGACTGTTCCTGCCTCAGACTTTGCACAGTGGCTAGGGACAGGCGCCCTCCCATTGCTCCTGCCCAGGACCCACATGGCGCTCCAGGGAGGTGACCCACCAGGCATTCCTCCTCCCCACGCCCAGGCTGGAACATTCCAGCATGGGGTAACGACACCATCTGGAAGAGGGGTGATGCTCTTCAAAGCACCTTCTGGGCCAGAGGAGCAGGCACAGAGAAAGAGGCAACATCTCCCTGCCTCTTCTCAGCTGGGGGAGCCCATGAACTTTCCTCAGGAAGTGACAGGATCCGGGCATTTATAAGGCCAAAGGAAAATGCTGATATGGATATAGTAATAAATATCTAAAATACTGATATTCATTTAATATCAATTAAGACATTGATATTAAAAGTTACAATTTAATTTGGTTTATAAAATTTGATTTATTTATTTTTAAAAAGCAGGAGCCCATGTGGAACATAACATTTGCTCTCATCAGTGTTCAAACTCTTGTTCATATGAAAGCAGGAACACACCTAATGTCAAGAATGCTTCCTCGGGGCCTCAATCCGAGTCCCTCCCTGCTTTATGCTTCTGTCTGGTGGGCAGGAATGACTTTTCTATCTGGGGGGTGAAGTCTGGCTGCTGAGGAATGAGGCTGTGTGGGCCCTGCAGATAGAGCTTCCTCTCGTCACACTGCGGCATTGATACCACCCTGGGTTCCGGGTGCGGAAGCCTGAGCGTGGCCCTTCTGGAGCGCCTACCTTCTGGTGCCTGGCCCCCTGGATGTGGGCCGTGTAGGCATCAGCCCCGGTGCAGGACACAGCACACAGGCCGCAGTGCAGCTGGGCCTGCACACCGCAGGGACTGCCATTGGGCTGGACACCCATCTTCTGAGCTGCCTCTTTCTTTTTGTGCTTCTGCCCTTCCAAGTGCTCACGGTAGGTCTGTCAGCAGAGAGAGAGGGGCCGTGGGAGGTGAGCGCTCACCAGGCACCACTGTAGCAAGCCCATTCAACACACTCACAACTAAAAGATAGGTTGCTTTCTCTTTTCTAAAACACAGCATGTTTCTTAACCAAACACCCTCAAAGGATCACACATTTGGTTTTGGGGCTGCTGTGAAAGAAAATTCTGTTTTTTCCGAAACCCAGCAAAGACCTCAGACCTCCAAGACTCGCAAGGACACGTGGCACCGAAAGACGCGGACGCGTTTCCCTTTCAGACGCTGCCACAAAGCAAGGAGCTCACGTGGCAGAGGATGCGTGAGTCACAGGCCACGCATCCTGCTCTACTGTGTCCCAAATACCCTCTTGCCCCTGGCAAGTGCCCCAGCTCTCATGTGGCAGGCCGCCCAAGTCCTGGGGTCCGAAGATGAGGGCAGTCCCAGCAAACCCGCCTCATGTGGCTGTTCTGCAGTGCACTCTAGCCACGCCAAGAAGCCACACTCATATAATAAAAACACCACTGGAAAGTACGCGAGAAACCAAGAAAACCGTGACATTGCCCGGGAGGGGCAGGGGACAAGAGGCGGGCACAGAACAAAAGCAGCGCACGGTATTTTGTGGAGCATCTGATTACCTTTCCAGGAAGTGAGCTGGGTTATCCGTGCTGAAGGACCCTTCACCTGGGTAACACTCACATACTCACATGTGTATATGCACACACACAGCACACACACGTGTGTCCCATGCACACATGTGCACACACACACAGACCTGTTTTTATCCACTTATGGCTCTGTGCACCAGCAGGCCACATCTAGCAGCCTCTAGGAGGCCCTGTTTGTCCTCCAACCCTCCCTCCGTTAAGGAGAGGACACTGGCTGCCGCTTGCTCTATGCCGTCCGCTTTCAAGACCGTGCTCTGTGGCCAACAATCAGGGCGTCCTTCTTTACCAGCTGGGCCATTTTAAGGCCACCCTGACATGCACTTGATGGGGGCAGGCAGTGCCCCTGACCCTGATGTTCTGACCTCTGGTCAGTGACAGGGGGCCAGGGAGAATTCTCCCAGCTTGTGGGGGACCTGCTGGCACAGGTGAGGCGACTGACCTGTGGACCAGCGCAGCTGACCTTGCAGACCTCACAGTAGAGAAGCAACGGCTGCCTGGGGCTGCCCTTGGCTTTCAGCAGCTTGTTGGGAACCGGGGGTTTCTTGGTGAAGTTGTCAGCAAAACTGGCACTGGCACTGCTCCCCGAGCTGCTCCACAGGGAGGGGTCTGTGGGCTTTGGGAGGGGTGGGGGCTGCTGAGGAGGAGGTGGTGGTGGTGGTTGGAGGGGTGCCGGGGCAGGCGGGGGTTGCATCTGTGGGGGCAGCGGTGGAGGGTAGAAGAGATTGGCAGCTGAGTACACGGACGTGTCGTAGCTTGGGTAGCTTGGCCCTAAGAAGCAGAGAAGGAGAGAGGGGGATGGACTGGCTCTGGGACTACATTGATTTAGGCAGCAACCAGTATGCACACCCCCACGGCCCCAGTTACCAGAGTATGGGATAGAGGCAGGGCTGAATGATGAGGTCGGGGTGTAGGGACAGAGAGTAGCGGCAGAGGCTGCTGGCAGGATGCTGGCCGCCGAGGCGTAGGGGCAGGCCCCAGGCGCAGAGCTGTCTGCCTGGCCCTCCTGAGCAGCGGGTGCCTGTTGTGGCAGCTGTGCTGGGCTGTAACCTCCGCAGGGCTGACCGTAGGCTCCTTTCGTGCCTGGAGAGCAAACACAGCCTGTTCTGAAGAAGCGGTCTCACTGCTATACCCCCTGACACCAAAAAGAGGGAGTTCCCACGACTACCACCTCCCCAGCTGCCAAGAGCCAACATGGACCCCGAGGTCCCCAAGAGTGGGTCTTGGGGGCAGTTGGTCATGAGCTCCCTGAGTGTCTAAAGCTCCTGTGGGCCTCCCCTGGTGGTGCAGGTGGTTGAGCGCAGCACTATGAAGCTGGTCCATAGACTCTGCAGCGCCAGTTCGATCCCGGCCGGCCAGTGAGGGTCCCACATGGCGCGGCAGACCTCTTCTGACTCACTCTCTGCTCCCCTCAGCAGTGTATTTCGTCAGTCTGCTTGTTCTGTTTCCTGCTCTGTCTCTGGTGAATCCTCTCACCCTCCGGCGAATCTGGCCTGTACCCTGGTTTCTTATATAAATAAATAAATAAATAAATAGATAAATCTGTTAAATAAATAAATAATAAAGCTTCTGTGACCCCTTGGCTGGAGGCCTGTGCCCCTGGGCTCTTCCACCTCTAAAATCCAAGTCCTCTGGTCCGGGGAAAGCGTCCTGGCTTCAGCCCTGTCTCATACGCAGGCTTTCAGGCGTGCTTGAGGAAACAGTCCTGATATCCATACAGGCACGTGTCACTGACAACATTTTAGTCGACAACAGACTGCGCGGATGACAGTCGAGTCAGAGACTGGGTGTGAGTGGCTGCACCAGCCAGGTCTGTGTCATCACACTCGACCACGTTTCCATGTTCCCATGACAAAACTGCTAAAGATGCATCTCTTATAACAGGCCCTCAGTGTTAAGAGACATGTGACTGTACCCCTGATCTCCTCGGAATCTGGAATGTCTCAAACCAGGAAGTTGAATGGGGACCACCACCCCCATTCCCCCCCTCCCCCACGCCCCGCGTGCTAAGGTGAGCGTCTCTTTGCGCCCACTCCCCGGCCTACAGGGACTCACCTGGCGGGTAGGGCACGCCTGCAGCAGAAAGTGGCGGCTGGCCGGCGAAAGGCGGGGGACACTGCTTGTTCTCGTAGCTACTGGTGGTCGCTGATGAGCTGTAGCTGTAACTGTCCTGTAAGAGGGTTGCCCGGGACAGACACAGGGTGGGGAGAAATCCACTCAGGGCCGCGGCTGTGTTAGGCCCTGTTTTGGGTGCTGGGGGAGCAGTGAAGTGGACGCAGCCTGCTCTTGTGGAACTGATGTTAATGTCTGAGAGACAAAGTGCTCTGGAGTGTCCAGCAGGACGAGGAGATGGCTCCTCGGAGGACCAGTGCAGCAGGGAAGTGTGTGAAGACCTGCAGACAGAGTTCCCAGCAGGGTCAGCAGCATGCAGAGGCCCCCAAGCAGGGGTCAGCTAGTGGGCTTTCGGACGACCAGGAAGGGGGTTAAGAGCAGAGGATTGGAACAGTGGTGAGTGCCAGGCAAGGGGGCTCGTGGGCTAGTGCCAGGGGCTTGAGAAGGGCCTGGATTCCACACCAAGAGCAGCAGGGAATAGGACTGGATTCTGGTTCACAAGGGATCTGGATCGGGTTAGATTGGGTATAACGTGGAGGTGAGGACAAAAGCACAGGGACCAGGAGGAGGCCCGGGAGAAGGGCTGGAGTGAGTGGAGAGGAAGGCTTCAGGAGAAGTCCAGAGGCTTGGGAAAGCAATGACCAGCGAGGGGGAGAGGGGATGCGGCCAAACAGAGCAAGCTTGGCTAACTGGGCGGCTGGTGGTGTCATTTACCGACTGAACCAGGGACAGGCTACTGATGGTAGAGGCTGGGGGGGGTGGGGGGTGAGACCACATCCAGCAGGTGGTGATCCCAAGTAGAAAGCATTGGCTAGATCTGTGGGCACAGAGATCTGTAGTTGGGGAGGTCACAATGTCAGCACCCAGAAGGGCCCAAGGAGTCCAGACAGGTCCCCTGGGAGCTGGAGGGCAAGGGTGTGTCCTGGATTACCTGCCAGCATGGGGCACCCACTGCATACTCCTACCCCACACTGTCCATGTCCAATACCTGGTACGAAGATGCTGTGGTGGACACGGGGGCCAGTCCCTGGCTGCTGTAACCGAAGTCCTGGCCAGAGTGGGGCTGGTATCCACTGTAACCCGCTGAGGCAACAGGCCCAGAGGACTGGGCCGTGGGGGGAAGCGACGGGACCACAGGCTGCGTGGCAAAGCTGGCTCCAGCAGGAGGCGGGGGGAAAGCCAGTGGAGGCTGCGCACTGGAACTGCAAACAGACACAAAGCCAGGCCGCGATGGAATTCCAAGTAGAACTTGAAGTTGAGGACAGAGATTCTATCAAACGCCAGACCCCACTGGGGGTGCCAGGGGGGACTAGAGGCGGCAGCACCATCTTTCTGGCATTCCCACGTGTTCTGGCTAGTGCCAGACGCGTCAGGACTGCCATGGAGTCTGTGCCCTCATAGATGGCTCACTGCCCAGTTGGGAGAGAGCCGTGGAGAAATGGGGACTACAGGGTATTGTCCTGGACGTGCTGAGGACAGTGCAGGGGGTGCCTGCAGGAGCAGGGAACCTGACCCTTTCCTGGCCTCCGGTACCTAACCCCTGCCCCCCACCACATCTCCTCTTGGCTGCCGGAAGTGTCCTCTCAAAGCACTAAGCTGACCATGTCACTAAGCTGACTGCTTAGAGCCCTCCAGGACTCTGTTCTCATCCCCTCCCAAACCTGCTCACTCCCCCGCTGCAGGTTCCTGCTGCTCCACTACCACCTCCCCGACTCCTGTCCAGAAGAGTAGAGGTAACCCCCATCTGGTCACTCACTGCCCCACCCTGTCTGACTTTTCTCCCCAGCGCTGTTGGATGCTCTTTGGCCCGTCTGCCCCTGGCTTTCTCCTCCTGCCAGTGCAAAGCTGCAGGAGTATGGAACTGAGGTGTGTCCCAAACTCTCTCCTGGCACTGCAGCAGCAGCTGGTACATAGCAGGTGCTTAGTAAATATTTACTGACTCGGAAGCAGGTGCTCGCAGCACATGTTTGGGAAATGGCCGGTGAGAGCTTCTGTGCTCCGACCTACAGTGTGTTTCTGCAGACTCAGCGGGAGGCAGGGTCCTGGGCCTACAGGGACCAGGGGCCACTTCCGCCCAGTGTGATGGCACTGCCCACCACATCGAAACCTTCAGCAAAATGCAAACACTATCGGCAGCCTAACAATTTCTGATCTGCAATACTGCGTGACGTTTTCATCTCTCCCAGGGCAGAGGTGCTCAGTCTATTACAAAGGATCATTTAGATTCCCCGAATTACAGTCTTAGAGACTTGGAGAAAAAGCAGATTAAGGTGGTGCACTAGCTATCTGAACCTCCTTGGACTTCTAAACATTTTCTGAGATATGGTTAATACTTTGCTGTATTGATCAAGAGCTCTGCCCTGATCCAGCCCCCTCCCTCTCTCCCTAGTGATTTTATACTTTGCTACATAGGTCTGAGTCTTCATGCAACATAGTATTTTGTTTTTCAGTATCATGTGTGTAAAGCCAGGTTCTAGTCCACATCTCACCCTGCAACTTGTCCTCACTCCCTCACTGCCCGAGTTGTCTGAAAGGCATCTGGATTGATTCAAGTTATGTGGTTTGCTCATTTTTAACTCTTTTTTTTTTTTTAATAGAGGCATGTTTTTATTTATTTATTTGTTTGTTTGTTTGTTTGTTTGTTTATACATGCACTGGGTACAGTCAGAAGCGCGGGAGGGTGAGAGAATTCACCAGAGCCAGAGCGGGGAGCAGAGCAGGCAGAAGGACCAAAGCACAATGCTGAGGGGAGCAGCGGGCGGCAGGAGAGGTCTGCGCGCCATGCGGGACCCTCCTCCGGTGGCTGGGGAGCAGCTAGGGATCGAACTGGCGCCGCAGAGGCCGCGGGCAGCTTCGCAACCCAGCGCTCAACCGCTGCGCCACCGGGGAGGCCCTCATTTTTAACTCTTAACGTTTTTCCTTCCACCTGTGCTGGATGGGTCCCTGGCCCTGGTCTCATATTTTGTTTTGTTTTTTTCATTAAATAATGAACATCTTTTAAAAAGTTTCCCCTACCACCATCCTTTATCTTCCCTTTTCACTCCCCGCTTAAGCACAGAGCCCTCTCTGTGCTTATTGATGTCTGATAATTTTGGTATTTTATTTTGTTACGTCATCCATTATATAAATGTCCAGTATTTGGTTTTGTCATTGACTTGCTTTACTATCCACAATTCCGTCAAGCTACTGTTTTTCTGTAAATGCTGCATTTCCTTTTTCCTTATGGCCAAGTAGTATTCCACAGTGTGGATCTACCACATCTTTTTGATCCCATCATTTTAGGCTGCTTCCACATCCTAACTACTGTAGACAGTGCTGCAACAAACACTGTAGAATACGGAGTTTTTTGCACTGATGGTTTCATGTTCTTTGAATAGATGCCCAAGGACTGCCCAATCCTTGGGCAGTTGCAGGGCTGAACAGTATTTCTATTTGTGGTTTTTCAAGATGAATCCAAATTGTTTTCCATAATGGCCGCACCAGTTCACATTACCACCAACCATTCCCATGGGGGTCCTCTCTCTCTGTATCCTCTCCAGTACTTATCGTTGGGGGTCTTCTTAATGAGTGCCATTCTCACAGGTATGAGATGGTGTCTCCGGTGCTTTTAACCTTCTCTCTTACTAGAAGAAAGGATGAACATTCTTTCACATAGGTACTGGCCTTCTGGATTTCCTCTTTGGTGAACTGTCCATATCTGCTGCCTATTTATTAATTGGGTTATTTTTCTACTACTCCATTGTATTAGTCTTGTTTTAACATATCTTGGATAGTACCCTTGGTCTCACATTTTAGAGCTGTACTGTCCAGTATCGCAGCCACTGGCCACATATGCAATTTATATGTGGCTAATGGCTACACTGGTGAGCAGCAGAGAGAGAGAATATTTCCATTGCTGAAGAAAGGCCTATGGGTTATTGTTGGTTTAGAGCAAACACATTTATTGAGCAGCACATGGACAGCTCCATCCTCATCTGCTCTGTGAATGGCACTGTTCAGGTCCCAGAGATATCCCTATCTCTTGTTCTGTGATATCAAAGCAAAGGATGATGGCATCTGAAGGCTCTAAAAATATGTGGGTTTTACCACCCAGCTTCACAGATGGCTTTAACAAGGCCTCAAAGTTAGGAGGATGGAAGAGCCTGGATCACTGTCCCATTAGCTTTTCAAGTCCTTCCTTTCAGGAAGATGAGGAACAGCAGGATCTTCCCTGAGATGTCATGTCCCAGGAGTGCTGTGGGCCACATCTTCCTCCCCACTGGGATCTGACTGAGGCTCCCATGCCACTTTGAGTAGCATGTAAATATAAAGCAATTCCTAAGACTCTTAAGTTTGGAGGCCTGGGCCTCCCTGGTGGCACAGCAGGTTAAGCGCAGCACTGTGAAGCTGTCCTCAGTCTCTGCAGCATGGGTTCAATCCCGGCTGGCCAGGGAGATACCCACATGGCACGGCAGACCTCTCCTGTCTTGCCCGCTGCTCCCCTCAGCAGTGTATTTCAGTCAGTCTGCCTGTTCTGTTCCCCACTCTGTCTCTAGTGAATCTTCTCAACCTCCTGCACATCTGGCCTGGCCAGATGCATAAATAAATAAATAAATAAATAAATGTATGCATAAATAAATAAATCTTAAAAAAAAAAGTTTGGAGGCCTAAGTGCCCAGGTCTGTGACAAGGTAGAGCATACCAAGTCTTCACAATGACAACTAGATGGATCTTGAGCATGAAAATTACAAGTTTATGTTCATAAAACATTAAATAATATACAATTAACTTTTTCTGATATAATTGACACTGAGTACTACATTAGTTTCAGGTGTACAATATAATGATTTGATATGGATATATACTGCAAAACAATCACAATAGTCTAGCTAACATTCGTTACCACACATCAATTAACTTTTTTAAGACAAAAAGATTAGCTTGAAATGGTTTTGAATGTTGGTAAAATTTAGTATAAATTTTTGTATAAATTAAATTATAATTTCTATTTTGCTTTCAAAAGTAATGTTTGTTGAGTTTGGAGGGTGGGTTCCAAAACGGCACCTACCCACACTGTTAACCTGCAAGAGGGTGCCGAGATGCTACCTGCTGGGGACTCCCACCCCGAATTATTCCATAGTGTTCCTTGCCCTTCAGGACAACACTGCGTCCAGAATGGGCAGGGCATACTTAGGTTACCCTGTGACACATGGCAGGATGGGGAAGGAAAGAAGACAAGTCCTAAGCTGTAAAGGGTAACTGATGCATGGAATAAACAAACAAATGAAAATTATAGCTTCTGGAGGGGACAGATTTATAACAGCTTCTGCCGCCCGCTGATGACCTTTCTGGACACATTACAGAAGCTCTCAGTTGCGTTGAGGAAAGAAAAAGTCAAAAAGAAATGAAGTTTTGGTAGTGAATAAAGTCTCAAATTTAAGAAAAGTCAGTTACAACAATACATGTTGAATCAAACTTGTGGATGCAAGTCCTAAGGACGCTCATTCTAGCACAGCACGGCAGAGGGTGGGAGTGGGCCGCAAAAATTCTTGAGCTATAATTCATATCCCACACAATTCATTTAGAGTGTACACTTTTGTGGAGGGAGTTATGCCATCACCACCACAATCGACTTTAGAACATTCTCATCAACTCCAAATAGAAACCCTGGTGGGAATGCAAAATGGTACAGTCCCTGTGACAAACAACCTGTAGGATTCCTAAAAATTAAACAGAGTGACCAGGTCACCCAGAAGTTCCACTTCTGTGACTCAACTCAAAAGAATTGAAAACAGGGACTCAAACAGGTATTTGCACAACCATGTGCACAGAGGTGTGATTCACAGTAGCCACAAGGTGGAAACAGTAGCCAAGACCTGGTGTCCATGGGCCAATGGGTAGACGCACACAATGGGGTCCACCCACACCCTGGAGCATTCAGTTTTCAAGAGGAAGGACACTGTGACACAGGCTACAGTGTGGATTAGCACTAAGGACATGATGCTCGTGAAATAAGCCAGAAACAAAAGGACAGATACTGTGAGATTCACTCACATAGGTTCCACGAGGGGTCACCTCCAGGGGGTAGGGGAGGGGGGGATAATTTATAGTCATTTATGAATTAGTATGTTCTTATTTTACTTAAGGTATCCCAGCATCATCAGCCCATTAACTTAACACCTGGACATGCACAATTCAAGTTAAATTCAATCATCTTTAATGT